AATATGCTTTCTATATCCTTTTAAATTCTGTAAAATCTGTGGTAATGTCTCCTAGGCCTTGATATTTTAATTTTAAAAATATGTAATTGATATTGTGTAATAGGAAGCAAAGTTCTAGGGGGTGGGGGAGGTGGGGGAGAGGGGAAAGAGGGGGAAAAAAATATGAGAAAAGGGAAAAAATATGAGAAAAGGAAAAAAATGGAAATGGGATCTTCGCAAGTGGGGAGGGGTGGTGGAGGGGGTGAGGGGAGGGCAGGGGAAGGGTAAAAAAAATTGGAACCAAGATACTCATGTAATGGTACAAGATCCCAATGATGTACGTAAATGTATTTTATACCTAAAATAAACGTAATGGTGGAAAAAAATAAAAAGAGTCACTGCTGAGAACATGAGTAGTTTCAGAGTGAAACATTCTTTGATCAGTTATCCATCCAATCCGGTGACCTTTTCATCCCACTTCCCCACACCCAAAGCCTTCTAGTCTTTTTCATTCTTTCCTATAAAAGGACAATCCTGTCTTGCCTCAACCCTGTGAAATTTGCAAATCTTACACAATAGCAACCCTCACCATACTATAACAGTGTATTACTTATCAATAATCTTTCTTAAGAAAAATCTCTCCCCTTCCTAAGTCTAAATTTTTCTTGACATAATATTTGGACTAATTTATCTCCTTTGTACACTTTTTATTTCACAAAATTTATGTAGGTATGGAATAAACATTGCACTTTGTGTCTATTCTCACCACTCTTCAGTGTCATGTAAAAGCCAAGTTCATTTACTTATGATGCACACATTTAAATTAGTTGCCTGGTCCTTTAGATTCATGATTTAAATCCTATAAACCCAATAGCTGTAAAGATTGGCTATAGTTAAAAATTAAGAGACAAAAAAAATAAAAGATTGGTTATAGCTGGATGTGGTGATCCACACCTGTAAGGCCAGCTACTTCAGAGGCTGAGGCAAGAGGCCACAAACAAGTTCACGTCCACCTGGGCAACTTAGCAAGACTCTGGCTCAAAATGAAAATGAAAAGGGGTTGGCTCAGTGTTAAACTACTTGCTTAGCAGGAGTGAGGCCTTGGATTAAATCCAAATGAATATACTTATGGGGCAAATAATAAAGTTTTATTGATTTAGTGCTCTCATTTTTTTTAGTCATATTTCTCTGAAATTGAAAATGTCAGTCTAAAAAGGTCTTGTGTTCTCAGGCGGTGTGCCTTAACAATGATCACATACATTTATACAAATAGATGTCCTTTTTAAAGTGAAATCTCATGGAGAAGCAGAAATTTCAGTCAGGTCAAATTTTAGCCATTTTTTACAGAAAATGTCACACCTAAAATAGCTATATATTTACTAAACTCTACAGCTTTGGTTCTCAGTGGAAGCCTTTCTCCATAATGGGAATATCATCAAATTCCAAACTATTAAATTAACAATCAGCTGATATTGCTGAAACTAATATAAAATTAACAAGTAAATAAAGCTAATGACAAGCTTTTATAAATTATTACACTAGTTATATTTCTGAAAATACAAACTATTCATTTTTTCAAATACATATATAAAAAGGAAAAAAATCGTAGACAAAGAATGGAAAACGCATCATGTTTGAAAAAATGTGGCATAGAGGAAGACTGAGGGAAATATGTCCCTTGATGCCTTTTCTTTTTTTCTGCCTCTAGCATCTCCACTGAAGGTAAGAACAGAGGCAGCAAGGCAAATACACCCACAGCTCCTAGCACAGCACTTCTTACACTACAGTGTGGGTCCGTGACACCTGGGACCCACCTTAGGATGCAGTGTGTTTAGATCTGGACTGAGTGGACACTGCATTTCTAAACTCCGGAGTGACTTGTTACTGCTGATCCAGGGACCACATTTGGAGTAGCAAGACTGTAGCAGAAAGGAAGCAGTTATACTGAATTACCTCCACAGAAAAATCCTCCCAGATGCAGGCCCCCCCAAAGGAAAACATGCCTATAAAAGACTACTGTCAAGAAAATTGGAGGTGTGCTCAGAAAAATAAGCCAAAAACACAGCATAAGACCCAGCTGAGCAATGACAACGATATCAACGAAGGTATGTATAAAAATTTGCAGCTCTAGTGATAATCAGGAGCTAAATAAGAAATAGCAATAAATATCTAATCAATCAGAAACACAGAAAGACGAACCATAAAAAATGTAATTACATACAGATCCAGCCTCTTTTACATTAGTTATATAGCTGAAAAGCCTTAGCCTATTTATTTTTCAAAATACATATATAAGGTAGAAAATTTTTTCTCTACCATCTTAAGGTCTTTGGCTGAGCCTCAGAGTTAAAGTGACATAGGACAGACTGCAGGAGAAAAGAACACACAATTTAATAAATTTTACATATACATGAGTTCTCACAAGAAAATGAAGACCCAAAGCAGCAGTTCACATTGCGCTTACATGTACATTATTGTGTACATTGTGCTTACGTGTAAATTAGATAAGAGTAGTAAATTATAAAACCAGGATTAAGGGCTTGGGCTAAGGCAGTTGACGGTGGAAAATTACATGCAAGATAGGGGTAGTTTACAGGATTTTTATGAACATTTTTCTGCGCCTCCAATTCCCCTTAGTGATCCTTTGAGGTTAACCATTCCCTGTAGAAAGAATTTGTGCGGGCGCCTCGTGCTCCTAGGGACTTAACCGCAGGAAGCGGGTCAGAGTGGGCACGGTAGGAGAACCTAGAAAAGTACCTTAAAGATAGGAAAGATACTGTAGAAAGAAAACATGAAAATGGAAGAATCCCACTCCCAAAGCCAGGTTCAGTAAAAAAGAAAATGGAAGTAACCCTGTTCGATATAAGGCTTTTTCATTTTACACTTTTTCTTTTCATCTTTTAACTGGTTAGGATGGATATTCAGGTTGTGCATTTGTCTGGTCTTCACTCTGGCGATCATAGGTGTGATTCACTCTTTTCCAATGGGAGGGACCAACCATGTTGGCTAAATCTTCCGACACGATCTCTCCGCGGAATTGTCTTGTTGCCTCTCCAGGGACTGTTCCCTTTCCTTTCCTGCGGTATCTGCGTCCTATACACAGCAGGACGAAACCGACAGGCTTGGAGTTGTCCACGTGACTGCCGGCCGCTGGGATCTCACTTCTTCCTTTTCTGCCACTAGTCTAGAATCTAGACTCAAAGGTAAAATTCTGCTCTTCCAGATTTCAAATGAACTCGTAGACGTAACTGAGCAGCGAGGTTTGCCTGCCTGACACTTCAAAACATAGGAGAAAGCAACTTCTTGTAAATAAAGCTAAAGTGTTCAGAATAAGAGGTATTTATTGTGGAAAAGTTATCAAGGAGGCTAAGGAAGCTAGCCTGAATGGGGAGGGGAGCCGAGCTCTGAGGATTTGACCAATGGAAGATTCACTTAGACGTCATCTTTTGCATACAAACCACACTGGAATGAACCAATCAGAGATAGGAAAACTCAAATCTTCATTTGCATGACTTTGTCTACAAATAAGGAGAATCTCAATGCTCAGATAGCATTCTCTCCAACCCATACGAACAGTAATCAGTATGCCTGAGCCAGCCAGGTCAGCTCCCGCCCCGAAGAAGGGCTCGAAGAAGGCGGTGACCAAGGCGCAGAAGAAGGACGGCAAGAAGCGCAAGCGCAGCCGCAAGGAGAGCTACTCCGTCTACGTGTACAAGGTGCTCAAGCAGGTCCACCCCGACACCGGCATCTCGTCCAAGGCCATGGGCATCATGAACTCCTTCGTCAACGACATCTTCGAGCGCATCGCCGGCGAGGCGTCGCGCCTGGCGCATTACAACAAGCGCTCGACCATCACGTCGCGGGAGATCCAGACGGCCGTGCGGCTGCTGCTGCCAGGCGAGCTGGCCAAGCACGCCGTGTCCGAGGGCACCAAGGCCGTCACCAAGTACACCAGCTCCAAGTGAGCGCACGCGCCGCTCTCTGCAACCCAAAGGCTCTTTTCAGAGCCACTCATTTCTTCATAACTGGAGCTGGGCACTGATGAACCCTGTTCCATTAGCGGCACCGCTGGCAAGGCGCTACACCCGTTCCTGTTGCTTGTCCATGGCCCCACAGCAGTCCTCAGTTGCAACTGCTCACTCTCCGAGCTCTTGCTTCCTGCTGCCTGTAAAGTGGGTACCTTTTTAAATATTTTAAGAAGTTTGTTGGATGTTTGCAGAGTTTGATAAAGTTAGTAGTCCATAGAGTTACCTGTCTTTGGTAAGAGTTAATGTTCACCTGAAAGTTCTCTGAAAACTTGTTTCCATGTGAGGTTGGAGTGGAGTGTCTAACGTCATCCCTTTCTGTTCTAAGGGCTTAGATTTACTGCTAATCCCATAAACTTGCACAGGAGTTAGGTTGGGGCTGGGGGTGTGTCTAGGGCCTAAATAGACATTTTACTACTTCAGTGACCTCTTTTCATAAGTAGATGTGCAAGTGTTCTCAGTATTCATGACTTCAGTTTCCAAGCCTATGAGAATATAAGGATTGACTCAGCCTCCAATTTATTCTTGTTACTTGCAAGTTCCTATCCTACCCTGAGCCCTTCCTATCTTTTGTTCTCCAGTTAATCTTAACAATTTAAAAAAATTAGCAATCCTGGGAATGAAAACAAAGTATGGACCTAGGCAGATCAGTCTTTGTGGAAGTGGATTTGGGAGTGTTTGGAATAGAACCCAGGGCCTTGCTACATGTGTTCTACCGCTAATCCACACTTATTCTGGGTGTAGCTGTTTAGTGTTCGTGTGCTGGACACGGTTCTGGAAGTTTGCTTTGCTAGAAACAGACTATGGAAGTTTTTCTCCCTCATTTCTGCAGTCCCTTCAGGGTAGAGGCTTTTGGGGAAAAGAAAGATAAAGGTTTGGTTAGAGGCTCCCAATCCCTAACTGGAAATACTAAACTTACCCAGAAATAATGGATCCTTGAGAAGTACTTATAGCCAGACTTCCCAACAGTTTATATAAACTTTTATTCTCTCAACAAGGTAAAGTAAAAGCAAAAATGAAACAAGTTTTTATGTTAAAGTTACCAAATTCCAACTGCATTTCAAGTTTACCTACTCACTTTTATTTTAGTCTGAGATACACTGAAAGTTCCTAGTCCATACTGAACCTACTTTCCTTTCCAGAGTCACGGTGGTCATTTTAAAAGCACATCTGATCATGTATGTACCCGTGTTCTGATCCTTTCTATGATTCTTGGCATAAAATCACAAAATGAATCTATGGGCTCAAACTGCAAAGTTTGAGCTTCCTCTGACTCTGCAACTCAAACAATGTTTTTTTTCTTTTTGATTTTTGGGTTTTGTTTTGCTTTGTTTTTTCTATATTTTTGTTTGTTCACCTTTTTCCAGTTTTTGGAATTACTTATGACCCCTCTGGGCTATGGGCCCTGCAATTTTTCTCAGCTGAAACGCCTCTGGTTCAACACCCCTCCCCCAACACACACACACACACACACACACACACACACACACACACACAGAGTTTACTGATCAAGTCCAAGCTCAGCTAATTCATCATGTTGTAGAAACTAGTCTCCACTGTTAAAAGGTTTGCATAGCCCCAGAAAACCTCCAAACCATTCATTAATAAAGTTCATAGAACCCTAGAGATTGGTGTAGTTGAATCAAGATAAGATCCCTAAATCTGGGAGGAACTCTGCCTCCTCCAGAGCACAAGACAGGGAACAAGGGGTTAACTAAGCAAAATCAAAATTGTATTAGAGAGGAAAAAAAACAAGAAATGACATTTGATTAGGCACCTGTACTGTCTCATACAAGGACATTCTGGACAGGCAAAATGAGTATCTAGGAGGCTGAAGGTCAACAATTATTCGCTCATATTCTAGTGGCAAGCACTGAATTATGTAGAAGGATATAGCACAGTGATTCTTAAACTGGAGCGTACATAAGAATCACCTGGAAGGCTTGTTAAAGAACCATGCTGGTCCCAATCAGAACATTTCTGTTGCATTAGGTCTAGGATAAAAGCCAGAAATTTACCTTACTAAAATAAAAAGTTACCATGAGACACAAGCCTAATAAGGCTTCCCCATCCATATGTTGCTTTCCTTGTGTTAAAGATGAAGTTATAAGATCGTGAAAGGCATATATGCCAAACAAGAAGATTAGATTTATTCTGTAGGCCATACAAAATGGAACGCTTCTGAGCAGGAACTGACATGATTAGCTTGCTTTTGATGGTAGGAGACCAGACAGATTGGAGGAAAATGTCACTGAAAAGTGATAAAAAAAAAAATTCAAGCTAAAGACACAGTAGCAGTAACAGGGTCAGAGAATACAAATAAATAAATAAATAAATAAATAAATAAATAAATAAATAAATAAAATCAGAAGTTTCCATTCAGGATTTTGCAAATTGTTAGTTATAGTGCCTCTGTGCCAGGTCTCAGGCACAGCAATGAGCAGAGTTAGCTGTCCTGGCGCTAAAATATCCTAGTGAGAGAAGAGAGACAATAAACAAGTTGACATCTCAGCAGAGTAATTTCAAGTCGAGAGTTCTGGATGCTGTGAAGAAATAAAGCCAAATGGCATGATACAGACTAGGTGATTCTGTAAAGAAAGCAACCAAAAATTGAAGAAATAAAGATTCCAGGACAAGGTAAGTATTGGTACAAAAAAAAAAACTACAGAAAGGAGTTTGTGCTAAAGAAATAGGCTTGTGTGCTAAGATACTAGAGACAATAAAGTATTAAACTATGAGGCTGAAGGTTAAATATGTGACTGAATGTGGTACATTATATGCCACAAGCTATAAACAGGTTATTCATACCACAGTACAGGGATTTTTAAGCACCTTTTAAATTGTAATGTGGACAATGGCTTTTATGAGGTTAAAAAGTAAAAAGAAGCAAGGAAAAAAAAAGTTACAGTAAATAATCGTGGTGAAATTATTAGAACTGGGAAGGAGAGAGTCAAGAGAATTTACTGATGAATTGGGTTTATATGAAGAAACAAATAGCTAGCATTTATTGGGCCCTTACCATACTAAAGATAGTAGTTTGGGCTGGGGATTTAGCTCAGTAGTTATGCTGCCTGTCTTGCAAGCACAAGGACCCGAGTTCGATCCCCGGTAATAAAAAAAAAAAAAGATAGTGGTTTAGTCAATTTTGTGCTGCTATTATAGAACAGCAGTGACTGGGCCATTGATAATGAAACAAAAGCTATTTCTCATGGGTGTAGAGGCTGGCAAGACCAAGGAGCTGTTGTCTGGCAAAGTCCTTGTTGCATCATCCTGCGGCAGATGGGCAAAGGGTAAGAGAGAAAAAGGGGCAGAACTCTGCCTGAAAAGGGAGTTATCCTATGTAATGAATATTGGAAAAATAGCGGTTACCAACATGCTACAGACTGCCAAGGTTAGGGAAAAAAAGCTACAGTTCTGAAACCTTAACAACACAACTGCATGGTTCAAATGCCCCTTTTTTCTAGGTAATTCTATTGTTATGAGAAATAAGAGTTACAGCAATACTAATAGCCAAAATACAGACAGTATCATGTGACATGCACTGGTCAAAATACTTAGCAAATAATTCTATTCAGTACCAAACCTGTAAGGTATTCACTGCTATCACAAGCATCCCTCAGTTCAAGGCTTCCTAAAACCTCAAAGGGATATGAGGAATGTTTCCTATCAATCTAACTTATGGGGCTGGGAATGTAGCTCAGTGGTGCAGTGTCTGCCTGGCAAGTAGGAGTCCCCGACTTTGTTTCCTGGTAAAAACTTAACATATGACTTGCATAATGACCAACTACTTAATATATAGACTTTATTAAATAAAGTGGCCAAATGGAAGACAAATCCAAAGGATCAAGATAAAATTCACCTTTCTTATAAGACAAAATAAAATCCCTGTTGTTTCTTATTTTGTATTCCTCATTCTTGTAAGATTCAATTCAGAGCCTCAAACTTGAGAATCAATCTTTCTTCAGAATGGAGGCTTTCTTCTGTTCTGCAATCTAAAATATAAAGAGGTGACCAATTCGAGAATATATAGGTCTGTTGACAGCACTCAGTGAATGGTGACAAAACTAATTTACATATTCAAGTTGTTCTCCACTGTTGTAATGTCTGCCCTTTTTTCTATATCCGTAAATTCTGGGTTTCTAGATCTCAGCTCTAAGTACCAGATTCGAGGATGACAGAAAAGGAAGGTAAGCCTCAAAGGATAAATAACCCTATGAAATGCTTTATGTCCATGTGTATTTTTAAATAAATTCTTTTCAAAGGACTTTTTCATCCATATATTAAGAACTACTCTCCACAGGGAAGACAGAATACTGTGAAATACCCAAGTAACACTGCCTAAGATACGGGAAAATGCATCCTTTGATTTTTTAAAGTATGCTGAATACAGTTCTGGGTTCTTCCCACAATACAACACAGTGCAAGAAATAACAGTTAAGGAGGATCATTTAACATCACCTTTCCTTAAAATGTTACAGGTCAAGGTAAGGGCTGCCAGGCAAGTTGAAAAAAACAGTATCTTGTATGATAAAGTTAAACTGCTATATCAAAGGCTTTGAAAGGTTTTGAAAACAGCTACTTTTCTAGTGGAACAGATTTATTGTGATTATTCCAATTCTGCAAAGCACCTCTTGCAATCAATCAGGAAACTTTGGTTCCTTCCAATTCGGTCTTGTATGTCTGATGCTTTGTTTACAACACCTTAGCTGGTAAGAGGAAAGAGACAAGGTTAAGTCCAGATCTGAGTGACTTTCATTCCTCAGAGTAACTGGGAAGAATTTAGTCACATGCTATTAAAAAAGATCAGGAAATGCTGCTTCTGGCTCAAGTTACCTGTCCTGTCATGATTTTTATAATATATATTTTAATTGTGTTTACACACTAATCCCAGGAATTCAGACTAAAACCCATTACAGTAATAGGACGTAGTAACATTCCTGGATAAACGAATAAAAGCTGCCATTGATTTAAGAATCTGACTAGACCACTTGTAAACATTCGTTTCCTGATACTGAAAAAGTGGTGAGCTTTGAATTAAAACGGAGGTTTCTTACACCCATTCCAACATGTAGCCCGGCATGTAACCACAGCAATTCAACATTAGCTAAATTTACAAAGTTCTTACTGATTCCTAAAATAAACATAGCTACAGATGGAAGTTGCAGCTCAAAGTCAAAAGCAATACACAGCAAACCTTTACACCTGACAGTTCAGGACACGTTTAAAACCTTGAGTTAGCGCATAGAACCTACAGAGGGCCCGCCTCCATCCCATTTCAGCACCACCCTACTTGTTTCCCTCACCCAAGGCCTTTAGCAAAAGGTAACTAAAATCTACGTAAAGAAAAAAAAAAAAAATCAAGCATACTCTTTAGAGTGAAACAGGTAGTTGGTCCTGAAAAGGACCTTTTGATTTGAATAGAAAATAGACGCTTTACTTAGGTGTCTCAGGCGACCTAGCCTCAGCCGCCGAAGCCGTAGAGCGTGCGTCCCTGGCGCTTGAGCGCGTAGACCACGTCCATAGCCGTGACCGTCTTGCGCTTGGCGTGCTCCGTGTAGGTGACGGCGTCGCGGATCACGTTCTCCAGGAAGACTTTTAGCACCCCGCGCGTCTCCTCGTAGATGAGGCCAGAAATGCGCTTGACACCACCGCGGCGGGCTAGGCGGCGGATGGCGGGCTTGGTGATGCCCTGGATGTTGTCGCGCAGCACCTTGCGATGGCGCTTGGCGCCACCTTTACCGAGGCCCTTGCCTCCCTTACCACGTCCAGACATAGCAAAAGAGATGCTGAGCAAGAAGCACAAGGCTTTTAGGCCGATTGCTCAGAACTTTTATAATAAGATGGCGGACCTGTTTGGAAACTTGAAACGCAGGGGCGGGAACTGTGCTTTCAACCCTTCTGCGTATTTTTTTCCTGCTCAGACTGGAGGAGAGGGGAGGAGCCTGAAGCAACTGCAGAGCCGGAAGGAACTGGTGACAGGCCAATTCCTATGCTTTCCACAAAGGAGATTGACACTGCGGTGGCACCTCAGAATTCGCAATTATGAAACAAGTGCTGTAATCCCGTATTACACGCTTTAAATATAGTTTTAGGCAACTCATGTCTTTATTGTTTAAGAATCCAAGGTTATTTTATTGATTCACGTATGTGCAGTTACCTCAGCAGGGTTCGTTAGCAAGCAAGCCTAGTGAGGGGACTAAAGTATGTGAAGGTTACAGAATTAGAGGTGAAGCAGGTTAAAAGCATTGAGGGCTGCATTGAAGATTTATAAATGGGGCTATCCCGAAGGCAAGAGATCCTAGTTCTGGGAATTCAAGCTTTATGGCTTGATTGTATCCTTAATCAAGCACAGCTCTATGCCTATCACTACATGCTATCTCCCCAACCAGCCAGCATCATAGCAACCAGCCAAGACCATGCTCCACACACCCGCTGTGTGACCGTGGGTAAGCTATATACTCACTTTATATGTATGATGTTATTTTAGAACAATACCGAAATTACAATTTAATAACAGCCAAACATTATTACCTTGTATTATACCGTTGTGGCTGCTCTCATCTTCCAGCAAGGTTCACTTCTTCAAAGTAATGATCGGAAGAGAGAATCCTCATTTGCTAAACTTAGTTGTAAAACTCCTCAAAATGATAAATACTTAACTCATTGTTACATCACTGAGGAGTCCCCGTACTTTGGACAGAAGGCTGGGCTTCTCCATGATCTGTGGAAAAGACCAACTTCATCACAACTGTCCCTCAGATTTATATTGCATGTAAACATTGAAGAATATGTTTTTAACCTAGGATATATAGACAGGATTCAAGGGATGTGGAATCCAGATAGAAAAATATTTTTGATCTTTATTTTTCCAACCTCCAACCACACCTTAACATTTCTACAAAATATAAATTCAGATAACAGTATTAAGTGATATTACATATGCTACTATTCATACAGCATTTCAGTTGTCAGTATCTCATATTATTTAAACATCGCTTTCTCAGTTATTTCTTAGATCCATAGATCTATTACTTAATATATTAATGAGGGAGCATATAATTAGGTTAATATTTTACCAATTTTGACTGTGAAAATATTTTGATGCTATGTTTATATTGTTTCCCTTTGTAATTCCATGTTTTTTACATCAAGTATTTAAAAACATTCTAGAAAGGGGCCCAAAAGCTTTATTAAATGTACAAACAAATGCATGGCACCCGAAGTGGTGAGAAAGTCTTCTACAGAATCCTGAGACAATTGAAAGATTCTGGGATTCATAAATGTGCAGAGGAGCATTAAGAAATTCTATGAATTTTGGGGATGAAAATCATGTTAGTAACAATAATCTAATGGAGATACGTAAGGATAAATGACACTGGTTTTCTTCACTGATAAAGGGTAAAAACATTATGGAATTTTCTTGGAAAAATAGCCTCAATTTTTACTGAACCCTTAGGAATGAAGGTAAAATGTCCTAGGGATTAAAAACAGTCTCCAACAATAGATTATATCTTTAAGGTCATGGACAAATAGCCTCTTGATATACTTAAGTATATCTCTGGAATTAGTTTAGAAGTTCATGGTTAATAATAAATGGTGTTCTTTCTGAGTACAGGTTCTTTTGTGGCCAGAATTCTATGTTTCTCCCAAAATGTGAAGGTGAGCAAAAGTCCTACTGAAGGTAAAAGCAAGTGGACGTTTTCCCATGAGTTGTGACCTTTACCCACATTCTTCTTTGCCCCATAATTATGCAGCCCATGAAATCTGTTTGCCTTGCAAAGCATTCCAGATCAAGAGGCACTCTCGAATAACAAACAGGAGTTGGACCAGTGACTACAAATTCAAAAGGCCTGATCATGAGAATAGAAGGCCCCTAACCTCCTCATTCCCTTTACCTTACCTTTACTCTGTAAGAGAGCTGCTTTTGGCACTTGGGAGCCAATGGCCCCTTCTCAGGTCATGATGGCTATTAGATCAATGTAGGAACTCAAATCAAGGAAAGAGCTCATCCACGGTGAGATGCGAAATGGTATAATGACCAAACTGCTAGCTTCACTAACTATATTTGCATGGTGGGAGAATACTTAAAGGTAAAATTATGTCCAAAACCACATTCCAAGACTTCTGCTGTTTCCAGCAGAAAAGCCGCAAGTGAAAAAAACGGGGGGGTGGGGGGGTGGAGACAGGGCACAAGGCCTCCAAGAACAGGGCTTTCCAGCATACCACATTCATCATCACATCAAAGCCATGAAATCAACCCAAGGAGGGCTTTCTCTAGCCACGCTCAAAGCACTAGGAACCTTGAAAAGAGAATAACCTTGTCAGGCTGGGACATGAGGAATCATACTCAAAGGATACCTCGCCTCTCCCTTCAAGCTTAAATCAGGACTTGCAGCTAAGATCAAGAGCAAGAGGGAGGGCTCAGTCAAGAACCTCAGGAAGGTGATGGGCTGGCTCATGGCGACAGCTAGAAATGATAGGACCCTAAAGGCCCCAACTGCTGGGACTGAGGTGGGTAGAACACCAAAAAGACTACGGCATAAATAGACTAGGAACAGAAGGCCAAAGCTCCCAGAAACAAAGTAATCAAACCCAAACCAGTCCAGCTCACCGGAAGCAGCGCTAAAATAGAAAGGACATTCAGAATTAAAATTCACTAATTAAACACCAATACTTTCACAAGAATGGGGATTTTCTTCGTTTGCGAAATACCTTCCTTTTCCAACACTACTGCAGTGCTACACACCTTTTACAAACACGTAGTTGGCTCTGAAAAGAGCCTTTGGGTTCAGTTGAGCACTGCTAAGGAAAAAAAAGTTATGCCCTCTCCCCACGGATGCGGCGCGCTAGCTGGATGTCCTTGGGCATGATGGTGACCCGCTTGGCGTGGATGGCGCACAGGTTGGTGTCCTCGAACAACCCCACCAGGTAGGCCTCGGACGCCTCCTGCAGCGCCATGACGGCAGAGCTCTGGAAGCGCAGGTCGGTCTTGAAGTCCTGCGCGATCTCGCGCACCAGGCGCTGGAACGGCAGCTTTCGGATCAGCAGCTCGGTGGACTTCTGGTAGCGGCGGATCTCGCGCAGCGCCACAGTGCCGGGCCGATAGCGGTGCGGCTTCTTCACGCCGCCGGTGGCCGGCGCGCTCTTGCGAGCAGCCTTAGTGGCCAGCTGCTTCCGCGGGGCCTTGCCGCCTGTGGACTTGCGAGCGGTTTGCTTAGTGCGAGCCATTACAAACGCGACAAAACAAGAAAGTACTAACAAAATGGAGACCGACGACGAGCTAGCTGTGTGTGTGTGTGTGTGTGTGTAAAAAGTCTCGTTCTGATTGGACCGACGAGCTTGTGTGTGTGTGTGTGTGTGTGTGTGTGTGTGTATAAAAAGAGTCTCGTTCTGATTGGACCAGGCAGTTGTTACCTTGAAGCTCGAAACACAAGCATTGGTTGGGACGTTTGCTTCCGAATCATTTAAACGTCGCTTGCACTTAAACCAAAAATTAACATATTTCTCTTAACCTTTAATTCCTGTTTTCTAACCTCTCTCGCTTGTAGCGTCCTTCTCTTTTATTTCAGATATTCCTTCACTGAGCTTCGGAGAATTTTACCTAGACATTAGAATGATATAGACGGCTTACAAAATACAATTTTTAAATTTTGGCGCCAAAACTGGCTTTACTTTCATTCTCTTTTTGAAAACGCGCAAAATGTGATTGGCCAAGTGATATTTTTAACCCCCATTTTTGAAGAAACCATAACATTACATTAAAAATAGACTTGTAAACTAGTAATTCTTAAGCATGTTAAAGTGCTATATTAACTGTAAATGAACAGCAGATCTGTTAAACTACATAAACACTTTAAACTATAGCTTTCTCATATAAATACAAAACATTAACACATATTTGTGTAAACGTACTGAAAACTATGCCCAGACAAAATATATGTCCTCTCAAGGTCAGGTTGGACATCGCTGCCTAGCAGCCAACCTGACTGTTAAGAAACATGCTTTTGTATTTTCATTTACGACTGAGGACCAGGATCAGTAAATGGAGAACGGCTTATTAAACGCATTTACAAAAACACTAAGTACACAGGGGCACACTAACATGCAGAATTCCCTTTCTAAAGCATTTTGTGATTACTCCATTAGTTGCAAACTTTCACCCCAGTAGGTCACTAACTACATTTGCATTTCAGCGACCATTGTTTCTATTATCGGATCCTACAGATTTTCCACTACCGAAGCAAGGCTGCACAAATTACCTCTAATTCCCAGGTAAAAAAGACCTGGAGTTAAAAATTACACTCTTGCAGTAATTTTCCTGCTTCTGAATTGTACTTCGAAGCTGAGAAATTACAAAAAAATCACCTATGTCAGCATGGGAAATGTGTGCCCTCTTAATGAATATGTGGGTGGCTCTGAAAAGAGCCTTTGTTTTCTGGAAATAGGAATCACTGTAGTTTCTAATCACTTCACTTGCCCTTGGCCTTGTGGTGGCTCTCGGTCTTCTTGGGCAGCAGCACGGCCTGGATGTTGGGCAGCACGCCACCCTGCGCGATCGTCACCTTGCCCAGCAGCTTGTTGAGCTCCTCGTCGTTGCGGATGGCCAGCTGCAGGTGGCGCGGGATGATGCGCGTCTTCTTGTTGTCGCGCGCAGCATTGCCCGCCAGCTCCAGGATCTCGGCCGTCAGATACTCGAGCACGGCAGCCAGGTACACCGGGGCGCCGGCGCCCACGCGCTCGGCGTAGTTGCCCTTGCGGAGCAGACGGTGCACGCGGCCCACGGGGAACTGCAGCCCCGCGCGAGAGGAGCGCGTCTTGGCCTTGGCGCGAGCCTTGCCGCCTTGCTTGCCGCGACCTGACATTAACAAATGTAATCCTACACAACTAGGGAAAGAAAAAAGCAATATGATACTTTCCAAACCAAATGACGAGTAATTATACTTCCAGTATGGATTGTAAATTCCGTTCTTTGATTTGCTAAAACAAACTCTAGGAGTGAGCCAATTGCAAAAGAGAACTCCAAAGCACATGATTTGCATATGACGTAATACCCACGACAAACCCTCCAATCAGAGCCTGAATTTTGAAACACCATATTTGCATAAGCGCCCTACAAATATTAATGCCATTTGGAAAAAGTTTACCACTTTTGTTCTTAGGCTTCAGAGTTCTGTCAGCATGCCTGAGCCATCCAAGTCAGCGCCCGCCCCGAAAAAGGGCTCGAAGAAGGCGGTGACCAAGGCGCAGAAGAAGGACGGCAAGAAGCGCAAGCGCAGCCGCAAGGAGAGCTACTCCGTCTACGTGTACAAGGTGCTCAAGCAGGTCCACCCCGACACCGGCATCTCGTCCAAGGCCATGGGCATCATGAACTCCTTCGTCAACGACATCTTTGAGCGCATCGCCGGCGAGGCGTCGCGCCTGGCGCATTACAACAAGCGCTCGACCATCACTTCGCGGGAGATCCAGACGGCCGTGCGGCTGCTGCTGCCAGGCGAGCTGGCCAAGCACGCCGTGTCCGAGGGCACCAAGGCCGTCACCAAGTACACCAGCTCCAAGTGAGCGCACGCGCCGCTCCCTGCAACCCAAAGGCTCTTTTCAGAGCCACCTACTTTCTCACTACAAGGGTTGTAATGACGACTACACGTTTTCATCGATTTTTTTTTTTTTTTTTTTTTTTTAGTAGATTGCTTTTGCTGAAAATCGAGGTTTACATTGGTTTGGTGCTAAATTATACATTTGTAGACAGGTCGGAAGTTTGCTTGCAAGTGACTGACTGCTGTCGCCACGTCTACATTTTTCTTTTTGTTTGGGTTTTTTTTTTTTTTTTAAGAGGGTTTCTAGCTCAGTCTGGCCTCTAGTCTAGTTGGCTTCTTGATGGAGAGGATTCAGCAAATTTGGTTAATGGTCCTACTAGTGGTATAATCAGGAGCGATTAAATGATACTATTCTCAGTCAAGACAAAATTGTATGCTTCAAGTGAATTAGTTTACTTGAAATCCTCCAAAGTAAAGGGAGGAGCGTAACCGAAGTGTGACAAAATTGAAAAATGACCATCACTGGTTCCTTGGAAGGTACACTTAAAAAATTTCCAGTTGCCAATTCAGACTTTATTATTTTGGAAATTTTAATGCATACTTTATATAAATTTATTTTACATTCTGGTAGGCATAATTTAATGAAAAATAATATTACCGTAGTTATACCTTGACTTTCCTGCCCTATGTAGAGACACATATAGTACAGAATGAAGACGTACACAGTTTCTAATGATTACAACTTATATAAGTTTAAACTGCCATGAATGGCACCTCCTGTAGAAAAAATGATAAAAGTATAGATACAAAATATTTTAGACTTCCAATCAGTCCAGGGAAGAAAGACTACTCTGTGTTACATGACTTCTTTTAACGAAAATAAATTTTCCATTACCTACACAACATGCACGTAGAACACAATATACGCAAGAACATAAATAAACATTCAAATAAACATAATAAAAGCAACAAGAAAAATCCAGAAAAAAACCCTAAATGTCCCAGTTAGCTTTATATGAGTTGGTTACTATAAATAGTCATGGCATATTATCTAGGGAAATACTGAACTATGTAATATTACATAAGAAAATGTGTCCGTATTTGATTCCTTTTCCCATTGGAGAAATTATATAACTATCAAATTCTAAAAGCATTGTACCTCGAGGTAATAGCATAATGCCAACCCAGGGATGCCAGTCTTTCTCACCTTATCTGACAAAAGGCAATGAAAGCTGCACATGGAATTCAGTATACTAGCTGACCTACATTAATAGTGAAATCATACTGTAATTTGCAAGTGAACTCAATTTAATCAACAGGTTCCTCAATAATAAAAGAGGGAGTTAAAGGGCTGGAGATTAAGCTCAGTCGTTCCGCCACCTGCCTCAGAAACGCAAGGTCACAAGTTTGATCCCCAGTGACAAAAAAAAAAAAAAAGAGGGAGTTAGAATCAATCATTACAGAAATTGTAGTGTGAGAATGATTTGGCTATAGACTGCAAACTTTGAAAATGATGGAAAGGAACCAGGAGTCGAGGAGAGGGTAGATTCTAACTCCTAAAAAACAAGGAAATAATTTTTTGTTATTGTTTTTGTTTGTTTTTTGTTTTTTAAATCAGAATCTCGCTATGTAATTCAGGCTGCCCTCGAACTCATTATGTAGTCCAGACTGGCCTCCAACTCTGGGGAATCCTCCTGCCTCAGCCTCCAGAGTGCTGGGATTACAGATGTGCACCACCACACACAGAGGAAACAAGTTTTAAATCTTCAGCTCTTGAGCTAAAATCAGACCAACATCTTGAGTTTAGCTCAGTGAGATTCATGAAATAATCCTGATTTACAGAAATATATAATTATAAATCTCATTACTTTTATTCAGTCTGTAATAAATTTTAGACCACAAATAGAAAACTAATACAACCACAGAGGTGAAAGAATTATTGACTACTCAGTAAAGTTCTTTAAGATTGTAATCACATATATGTAAATTTAAATGTGTAGATCCTATTGTAATTATGGATCCATGAAAATATTAAATATCACAGGCTTATAAAATTTGCAAATGCTTGGATTGCAGCAGCTGCAATTTATATTGTTTTGTTTTGGTTTGGTTTTAGCTAGCTTCTAAGGGGCTTAGTTTTTCTTTTTCATAGCAGAAAGTCTAATTCCCGGGAGCACCGTTTCTTCTATGCATTTGTAGCACTGTTATTACTTCTGAGTGATAAGAATAGCACTTCAAAACCCTTACACTAGTTATGTTAAAATACAGGATTTGGGGGGAAATTTGCCTCATACAGTCTGCAAATGACTTCGTCAGGCCAATAACGACACATGAGCAGGCCTAACAGACAAAAGAGGGTGATGTCAAAATACCATGTTTTGGAGTTAAGCAAGGAAACAGAGTTCAAAACATATATAATCACTTGTTAGAGCTCAGATTTAAATCCAACCCTCAGAGCACAGTGACATTTTAGGGCCACACACTGTGTGCAGTCCTTCAGATGCTGTCATCAGAAAGGGTTCCAGGAGGTTCCCAAAGTAGAGATAAAAAACCTAAACCTACCCTACCTACTAAATAAGTTGCAGATTCATTGACTTCTGTTGTGGGAAAAGAATTATCAGGACTGATCAGAAAGAACCACACAAAGGGTTCATTAGGCACAATGTTAGATGTTCACACTCAAGAGTGGAGTGCTGGCATTCAGAGAAATGAGACGTGTCATTTCCATGAACTGGGAACATTTAGGCCTCTCTTGAGGCATGAAAACCCAAGGAAAAGATGGACCAACCCCCTGAAGCATGTTGGACCACTCTAAGGTGTGAGCCCACTTCTTTGTTTGCTTTTTTTAAAAAAAAGAATAATTTAAGCATTATTTCAATTTTTTCAACCTGTTCCTTTATCTCTGGATCAGGTTTCTGCTCTTTACTTTTCTCAGGTAAACAAATGTATGAACTTACATTATATGCAAAGAACTTTCAGTGTGATGCACCTTGAAAGAAAGGAGCCTAAACTAACCAAGGCAATACCCATATATAGTCTTTGGTAACTGGGGCTGGGGCCCGGGCCCAGGAGTTATGGACTTTTAAAACATATACTTTTTAATTATGGTTTCTCTTCTCTCTTTTCTACCTGTCTATTTCTTCCATTCTACCTAAATAACTGGCCATCAGGCATGTAGTTCCAGAATGAGGCACATAGCATTCCTGGCTGCCATAGCCTACAACCCAACGGTTTGAGAAAAGAAAGTGATCTTTAAAGGATCTCTAACCTTGAGCTGGAACCTGGATTAAATGAAGAACTTATCCTTTGTAAGTTTCTTACATGACTGAAGCCCCTGAGGAAACACTGAACATCAATAAAGGATAGGCAGACAGTTTACAGTTCAAAAGTAACTTCTAAATAAAATGATAGGACTGGGGATTTAGCTCAGTGGTTCCAGAGCCTGCCTCACAAGCGCAAGGTCCCAAGTTCAATCCCCAGTACCAAAAACTAAAAATAAAATAAAATGATAAGCCTCATAATCACCATGGGTCCCTAAATCCCAGGAGTAATGTTTGTATGTATAAAAGATATTGAGGTCATAATGTTACACAGAGAGTCATTAGCAGGCTGGAGACAAGTGGTTGGGGGCTAATTGAAAAGCAAAGAAGATGATTTACCTTCACTTTTTTACTCATTAACTATAGATAATATCCACACAGCTTGTAGTTTCAAACTTAAGCTAAAAAAAAAAAAAAAATTAAAAAAAGATAATATCCTCTAAATGAAGAAATCCAACCACACCATCCTAGGCTGATTGGAGGCCACTTCAAGCCTCTCCCATTCTCGTATGCTTTCACATGTGCTGAAGATGAATAATCATGGGTAAATAAGGCCCCGTAGCCATGGCTTCAGCCCATAACTCCCATCACATTCTGCAGCCCTGCAACTGACAGACAACCACCACACACTGCATTTCTCAAACCTTATCTCCAGCAGATAGCCACAATTTCTTTTCACTGAACTTTTTCCCTCACAGCCCACTTTGAACTTTTCTGCTCAGAGCCACCCTTTATGCTCACTACCCTATAAAAAACCTCACAGCCTGTATAATATTGGCTGCTCTGGTCTTCATACCAGCAGTCCCTCTCAGGTCTATTTGAAATAAATCTGTACTGACTATAGACCTCGAGTCTTTGTTTCTCCTTTTTTCCTAACAATATGCTGCTGATAAGGTCTAGGGCCCTAATATATTTCAGAGTATTTATGAGGGATTGGAAAAATCTCAAGGTCTCAAAACAATTTTAATAGAGACAACTACCTGAGGGGAAAACAAGGACCTACCTTGCTCTGAAGTAGGTACTCACCACCCATTTTATTTATACAAGAACAACAACATAGTGAGGGATCATTATAGGTATGGGAAACAGGAAGGAGAATCCTGGGCCCTTTCCTGCTATCCATTAAAAGTATGAGGTGTATTTTCTCCTAGGACAATTAGGGACTTGAAAGCCATCTTTGCTATGAACCCCAACTCTTTAAACCCACAGATGCCCAGTAGGTAACTAGAATTACAACAAAGTTTGACTCTCACTTTGGACTCTTTTTTGCTACTAAACTTTGTCCAAATCTCTTCGCAGCTCTACAGACAGACATATTAATCATTTAGGGACTGTCTATCTAAAAATTGGATGAACAAAATTGATTGGCTCTGAATTTACATAATCTCACCCTCTTAAAGACTGAGGACACCAGGATGGGTTATCTCCAAGGACATTCAACTATACCTGACAAGTCTCCAGCTATGGTCCTTAACCTGCTTGTTCTGAACTTCCAAGCACCTGGGAACAAAACTATTTCCCAGTCTAAATATTCCAGAACCATGACACTAGGACTGAGACAGTCATGATCAATAGGACCTAGTCCACCAGCTAATCCTTAAAATCTGGCCTCCTGCCTTTGTAAGTATGCCAGTCTAAACCCCTGTATCAGCCTAAGCACCCTCCAGCTACAACTTTCTGATTAAAACTTGTTCATCTATAATTTATGCTTTAGTTTAATTTCCATTACTTCTACAAGTAAAGACCTAAACTAGCCAATGAGAGAGGTATTCAAACTCTCACTCAGTGCAGATGGCTTCGTGGCACTGTCTGTGTTCTCAGTTGAAGCCATAAGTCTCTCTATAGCTACTTTAAAATAAATTCTACCAATGCTCCTGCTTGGCTGTCTATATTTCTTGACTGGATTCTTTCATTATACAGATCCAAAGACCAAGGAAAGAACTTTCAGTGTGATGCACCTTGAAAGAGAGGAGCCTAAGCTGACCAAGGCAACACCCATATAGATAGTCTTTGGTAACTGGGACTGGGGCCCAGAAGCTGTACACTTTTAAAACATATATTTTTTATTTATGATTTTCCTTCTCTCTTTCCTACCTCTCTTTATTTCTTCCATTCCACCTAAATAACTGGCCTCCTGACAGTTCCAGAAGGAGGCATATAACATTCCTGGCTGCCATAGCCTACAATCCACTGGTATGAGAAAAGGAAAGGAGGGGCCAATTCTTCACCATGTCAGGACCCAGATTCCATGGGGCAAATCTGTGAATTGTAAACCTCTCTAAAATGATTCCTTCCAGTATAATTATTTTGACAAAAATGTCCGTATACTTGATTTTAGTAATATTCTCACTATAAGAAAGAAATACAGGGTACGACAACCAAACTTCAGTTACATGGCAAAACACAAATTTCTACTACAATCTTTAATGGTGTATTTTCTCAGATGTCTTATTAGAATTAAAAAGTACTTTAGTTCAGCAATTTAGCTCAACAGCACCACACTTGCCTCATAAACACAAGGTCCTGTGTTCAATCCCCAGTACCCCCCCCCAAAAAAAGGCACTTTAGTCTCTGTTAATGTCTCAAAGCTTTAGGAATTACTTTTATATAAATTATCTTCTCCCTCAAATATACTCTACACTTGTTTTCTTTGCAGATTCCTCCATCTTACTAGCACAAGTAGTAGTAGTAGTAGTAGTAGTAGTAGTAGTATAGCTAGATGAGCTAGGTAGAAATATTCTAGGCAGTTAGATAGGGCTAGGTCCTTGAGAAAGTCAGTACAAAGGTGAAACACACCACAATGGTGACTGCAGACACATCGACTGAAATCCAGGCCTCAAGATGAAGACAAGATGACCAGGCCTACATACTTCCTCAGAAAACCAACACCGGGCCTAATGAAGCCTAGATAAACATCAGCCAGCCCAGTGGGTGACCAGAGACCGCTAGACCCACTTCCTAGGAGAAATCTTTGTTCTTTCCATCCAAGCTTGTTACGTGACTTATTTCCCAGTTGGACCACCATTACCTAAGTGACTATACTTGTAACCTTATTGGATGAGCATGGCTATGGCCTACATTGTACCCACCTGGGTTTCAGCCTATAAAACTACTCTGTAAAGTGGGGTTCTCTGGACTACCCACTGAAACCCCTTCTGCCACTCAAGAGCTTTCCTATCAATAAATATCTTCCTACTCTTAACCTCCATTGTTCCTAGGACTCATTCTTCGATTTCTAGAGAACAAGGACTCGGTGTATCATACAATTAACAGGTTGGGAGAAATCATATTTCATATTTCATCTCCGCTATTATTTCCTGTAACAGTAGTCGTAGTAGTAGTAAAAATGCTTAAAGGCCTAGGAATTGAACTCAGGGCCTCAAACATTCTAATCAAGCACTCTACCACTGGGCAAACTCCCCAGACCCCTTATCCATCTCTAAATCTCCTCAGTCAAGCAAAATCATCTACTGAGGCTAAGCACTATTAGCTCAGAGGCCTGTATGCTATGCTAATATTCATCTCAGTTATCATAAATCTGCAAGTAATTACTTTATCCACTGAGAAAATTGATAGAGACAAATTCTTTAGAAACTTACTTCTTTGAGAGCAAGGAAAAATATCAAAGTCCTTGGTGCCAATAGGAACCTCAATAACCAAAAGTATTAATATGTAAAGTAGCAGTGTTCCCTATAAAATAAGAGAGGTTTGGTTCTATCGGTTGATATCCACTCAAGAAAAGAGACGCTCTTAGAGATCATTTTTATAAAGATAATTAAATAAAAGTTACACTCTTACTGGCAGACTGAAAAGCAAAATTTGACCTGCACTATTCTGAGATAATAGACAGCAGTAGGAACTACATATAAGCCAGGGAACACAGAGAAAAAAGTCAGAGCCTAGAAGACAGGAGGATAGCCTGGGCCATCTGGGGAAACAAGAACTCTGGAGAGGGTGTAATGAGGAAAGTTCTGAGAGGAGAGTTGAGGGAAAACCAAAGAACTGGAACAAACTGCTGCGGCCAGCGGGGAGATTATTAATGGGGTGATACTAACACTACAGCTCCCCTTCTTACCTCTCCTTTTCCAGCTTGCTACCTTCCTTCCTAACAAGCATCCAACTTGGAGAAAAATAAACAGAAGCAGAAGAAAAAAAGAAAGAAAAAATTAAAGTCTACATTGCTGTCCACATGGACCACTCCACTGCTCCCAAGGCAGCTGAGGTCTCAATTCTCCCTATCCCCAACCCCACCCTCAGCCCTGCTTTTCATCCTAGACAGGGAAGTAACCAACAAAAAGGACATTATCTTTTTCTGCCAAATCTTGGAAATAGCATGGCAAGATTTTTAGTAATTCTACTCATCACTGACAAGCAACTTCTAACGCCTCTGATTCCAGTTTTGTGATGGTGACAACCCCCTTCAGATAGGGGAGTTATCAGTTCTTAGTGAATGAAATCCAGCACGTGACAGAACATCACTTACAAGGTTAGTTACTGGCTTCTGTAACTCCACTACCATTTGGGAAGGGGTCCTATAGATACTCCACTGCCACGAGGAACTAAGGAATGGTCTAACTCCCAGATCAAACAGCACACAGGACATGGGAAAAGATACATGACAAGGAAAAGACAATGTCAAATGTTTTGTATCATACGCAGAGCTCTGTCGTCCTAGTTGTCCACCATAAATTTAGGGAGAGCATAACAGCACAATTTGGCCGGGAAGTTAACTCCCTAAACCACCTGAGGTCACTGCTCCCATGCCACACAGCATAAAAGTATTAGGGATTAGGTTGGAACATCTTCGAAATTGAGATGAGAAATGAATTTGCAGAAAGATTGCTGTTCAAAACAATCAGAATAGTCTCAGAAACCATACTATTAAAATACTTGCACAATACAGACAATGCACCTAAGTGAAACCATGACCATTTTCATTAAATGTACCTAAAAAGTAAGACTGAAAGGACATTACAACTCTGCACATGAGAAAATTAGCGGCTCTGAAAAGAGCCTTTGGGGTGCAGGGAGCGGCGCGTGCGCTCACTTGGAGCTGGTGTACTTGGTGACGGCCTTGGTACCCTCGGACACGGCGTGCTTGGCCAGCTCCCCGGGCAGCAGTAGCCGCACGGCCGTCTGGATCTCCCGCGAAGTGATGGTCGAGCGCTTGTTGTAATGCGCCAGGCGCGACGTTTCACTCGTGATGAGCTCGAAGATGTCGTTGACGAAGGAGTTCATAATGCTCATGGCCTTGGACGAGATACCGGTGTCCGGGTGGACCTGCTTGAGCACCTTGTACACGTAGACGGAGCAGCTTCTCCTTACGGCTGCGCTTGCGCTCCTTGCTGTCCCTCTTCTGCGCCTTGGTCACCGCCTTCTTCGGGGCGGGCGCCGATTTTGCTGACTCAGGCATGTCGACGAAACTGAAACTAAAACGTAAAATAGAAGAAATGCTAAACTGAGAGGTACAAGAAGCAGTTCATTTATAGGGCTTGTATGCAAATAAGGTTTCAAAAATATTCAGGTCTGATTTGAAAATGTTTCAGTGACGGAATATATGCAAATTTGAATAATTCAATCTCCTTTCTTATTGGTTTGCTGGAGAAAGCAAATTTTAACCAATCAAATCTCTTGATTTACACTTCCGCCTGCCAGTATAAAAGGCTTCAGGTTTCTCCTACTAACACTTTTTTCCTTTCTCTGTGACTTCGTTTTCTAATCTCCAAGCCAGTATGTCTGGACGTGGTAAGCAGGGCGGCAAGGCTCGGGCCAAAGCCAAGACGCGCTCCTCCCGCGCTGGGCTGCAGTTCCCCGTGGGCCGCGTGCACCGCCTGCTCCGCAAGGGCAACTACGCCGAGCGCGTGGGCGCCGGCGCCCCGGTGTACCTGGCGGCCGTACTCGAGTACCTGACGGCCGAGATCCTGGAGCTGGCGGGCAACGCGGCGCGCGATAACAAGAAGACGCGCATCATCCCGCGCCACCTGCAGCTGGCCATCCGCAACGACGAAGAGCTCAACAAGCTGCTGGGCAAGGTGACGATCGCTCAGGGTGGCGTGCTGCCCAACATCCAGGCCGTGCTGCTGCCCAAGAAGACCGAGAGCCACCACAAGGCCAAGGGCAAGTGAAGAGGTTAGCCGCTCGCTGTTCAGTGGCCTCTATTCCTGGATATCAAAAGGCTCTTTTCAGAGCCACCTAATGTTTCTATAAAGCGCTGCAATGCTTTTGAAGCACATGAAACATTAACTGAAGTTGTCACAAACAGAATCAAGTTTCGATTATTTCCAAGTGGAAACTCATGTTTTGCCCAGGAGAGGTCGGTTTCTTTAGTGCTATGCATCATAAGACGTTTCAGAAAAACAAAACTAACAAATCCACTGTGAAATAAACGTTCAAATGTGCAGGGAAACAACTACAATTCCATTTTTAAAATTGCGTCTTAAGCAATTAAGTAAAGGCAATTTAGACTATAATATGAAGATAAATTTGTGTCTGCATGAACCTGAGTACCCATAAATATGTCTAAGTTGGGCGTCAATATCCTCATTTAGAAAACCTGAAAAGAATAAAAGCCAAAATAAGAATAAAAATGAGAGAACAAAGAAGAAAAACTAACCAATAACAGTGGAGGGCGGGTTTTTTAAATTACAGAGATGAGGACAACTCTAATAGTAACATTACTTTTAAAATGTTAGTTATTACCCTTCAGAAAACTGTAGTTAACGAAAACCTAGTCAACACAACACGATGCTTCGCTTCTATGTATTAAATTTAAAAGACTCAACTGAAAACCATCTTATTAGTCAATCTCTCCCTAAAGCAAACCTCAGAGCGCCGGACCGATAAACCAGACTCAGCTTATAAAAATTTAACAGGGTGACACAAACCCAGCTGCCCTTTCCCTTACAGCCAAATGAAGCAAATTGCTGGCAAGTTCGCCGGCTGCAAGACCCCGCGCAAGCAGCTGGCCACCAAGGCTGCCTGCAACAGCGAGCCGGCCACCGGCGGCGTGAGAAAGCTGCACCGCTACCTGCCCGGCACCGTGGCGCTGCGCGAGATCCGCCGCTACCAGAAGTCTACCGAGCTGCTGATCCGCAAGTTGCCGTTCCAGCGCCTGGTGCACGAGATCGAGCAGGACTTCAAGACCGCCCTACCCTTTCAGAGCTCCGCTTTCTTGGCGCTGATAGGACTTTGGGTCGAATGTGCCCCAGATAGAAAATATATGACAAGAACCGCACCTGTTTACGTGCAAATCAGATGACAGGTCCTTGTAACCATTTATTTTAACACAGTGAAATCATAAGTCAAAAAATATAAAATGAAGAGGTACCAAGAGTTTCCCTCACTGAATGAAATAAAATGTTCTCATAGACTGAAAGATCACTTAACAAATTATGGCTTTTGTAAACAATTTAACAAAGAAATGTTAGGATGAGATTGTTGAATTTGAGAAAAACATACTGAAAAAAAGGCCATCAGTCTTTGGAGTCACAGCTGTTCCGAAGAATACAAATTTTGTGTATGGCTACAAGAAGTAAACAGAAAAGTTAACAAGAAACTTCACTAAGTTTGATACCTTAAATCAACAGTAAATAGTGCAATGCAGAAAGCATATTTTATGACAAATTTTGGATACAAAGTAGTTTAAAAATCAGTTTTGAATGCTTTCCCTTAAAAATACACTTTTGAAGAGAAAAATATGCATTGACTATGTAGTACTTGCTATCTACTGACTGCCTTGAAAAATTCAAGTATTGTTTTCTAACTGCCCACCTTTTCCATTATGAGTAATGGTGTGTTTGACAAGCCTTCCCTAGCTTCCTAGTGTGACTTGTTTTTATATAATGCTTCAATCTATCTCGAGTTGAACTGGTACCAAAGTTTAAAGGCAAAAGCCCAAGCTCTAAAGAACTCAAGAAACCAGGCTCTACCACGATTGCCAAAATGTCTTTAAAGAGATGAGCAGTGGTGAATGGGAGGAGTCTTAATCAGTGTGGTTATGCTGGGAAGGACAAATAAAGACATTCACTATTGGTATTTCAAGGTCTGACCAAAAGTACGAGGTTTTATAGGAAAGGAGATTTTAATGGCAAGGTTTATAGCTTTGCATAGCTGTGAAGTATGCATACCTTGCAGCATAAGTGATCCTAGTCAAGTCGTAGTCTTGGTGACCATTACCTGAGGACTGTTTCTTCCGGGTTGTTCCAGAGGAGACTTCATGGCTTTGTGGCTTGTCTGCTTCTGTTTAGGGGCACTACCTCATCATTGGATATTCTACAAGGCTCTGCTTTTCATAGAATCTAAAGGGCCTGTAGGTTTAGGACAGTAACTAGAGATTTCTAGGTGTTGCTCCATAGAACAAGACTGCAAAAATTGACAATCTGTAACCTCAATCCTGAAGGGAGATGACATAAATTAATTTAGGGATTATAAACCTTGGATTCCCAGTTTTTAGACATATGTACCTGTAATTTACATGATCACATAGAGAAGTGAACAACCCTCTGACTCAAAGTTTGAAGATAATGAAAGAGATAGATAAAATGGAGACAAAGATTGCAAGTTTGTCCTGCCTTTAGTTACCCATTGGGCATCCACAAGCCTAGCTTCTAAGGCCCTGTTAAACAGTCTGTTGCTAAATTCCTTAGAAATATAATGAATGTCCACTATTTTGCAAAACTTGTGCTATAAAGATTATATAAAGAATAAGAAAGGGACAAGTTAAAAGTAGAATCCTGATACAATGCTTGCAAATGAAATATAATACAAAGTAATAATAGCAATAATGAAAGCCAAACATGCAAATTTGATATTTCCAGAAACCACATCTTACAAACTGGAAAACATATAACAATATATTGTATTTAACCTCAAGTATCAAAATATTATTATTTAAACATATAATCATTATAAAACATTATTAATGTAAAATTTCTTTTCTTCACCCTTAATATTCCACAATGGGTTTATATTTTATTAAATCTGGTAACTTTTATGGAAAAAAATATATTGCATTTAGATTTTATGAACTTCACTGTCGAAAAATTAATTTTACATATATGAACTGTTCAGCTATACTTAATATTTTCCAATAATTAAAGAACCGACATTCTAAGGCCAAAAGTGGTGTCAAATTATTTCGAGACAATGCTGATCCACAGAGTAATGGCATTTAGGATGTGGAGATGGTTATGAAAATTGAGAAAGGTGGGGGAATAAATGTAATCAAATGAATGTTGGACTGACCTCTTGTATCGCATTTATAAATACACACTGTTGGGATTATGATAGCAACAGAAGGTAGGTCAAGATTGCAAACTACCATGTGAACAGATTAAACAATCACTTAGGAAGAAATAAATGATAGGCCCAGATTCATGATGGAATTGACCAATAAGTTTTATTTTCCCCACTCCAAAGACCATTTTACCTGCATTATTCTGCATTTTAAGTGAAAGTGTACATGTTTTTCTCCAAGAGACTCATTTATTTCAGATATGCATGAATCACAGTACAATGTAAAATTTCGGAAATTTTCCCCAAAAAAACTGAAATAGTTTAAACTTGCAAGATAAACAGCAGCCTGTTCCACGTACGATGCTGTACCCCTGTGATTAATCTCTCTAGAGGCTGAGGCAGGAGAATCACCGCGACTTCCAGGTCAGTCTGAACTACACAGTGAGTTCAAGTCCAACAAGGCCATACCCTGGCTTCCAGAAGAGAGGGAGAGGAGAGGGTGAACGAGGGAGAGAGAGAAAGAGAGAGAGACACACAGAGAAAGACAGAGAAAGACACGTATCCTGACAGGTGGACTTGCTTCATCCTCGTAAATAGACAAAAAAATTTTAGCGCTCTAAAAGCGATGAGTGAAGAAATGAACCAAGACAAACAATGTAGTCCTTGACGCTTTCCCTTTCCTCCCTAAGGGCTGTCAGCGACCACCTCCGGTTGAGGCAGGCTGTGCTGTTACCTCAGGCTCCTCCCCTCTCGTCCACTCCGAGCAGGAGAAAAGTGTGCGAAAGGGCAGGAAGCACAGTTTCCGCCCCTGCGCTTGAAGTTTTTAAACAGGTCCGCAAGCCTATTATAAAAGTTTTGTCCTAGGACACTTAAAAGTAGTGTTGTTTGTTTGGTAGTTGCAATGTTCGATGTGTTTGGCCGGGACAAGGGCGGCAAAGTCCTTGACAAAGGCCGCGCCAAGCGCCACCCCAAGGTGCTGCGCGGCAATATCCAGGGCATCACCAAGCCCGCCATCAGCCGCCTGGCCCGCCGCAGCGGCGTCAAGCGCATCTCTGGCCTCATCTGCGAAGAGACCCGTGGGGTGCTGAAGGTCTTCCGGGATGGAGACCATGATCCGTGACATCGTCATCTATGCAGAGCACGCCAAGCGCGAGACGGTCACGGCCATGGACGTGGTCTACACGCTCAAGCGCAGGGACGCACGCTCTATGGCTTCGGCGGCTGAGGCTTCCGGGATTCGATTGGATCTCATGTATCAAAGATTCGTTTCAGGGCCACCAATCTACTCTGAAAAGAGCTGATGAACTTCTCTGGTCCATTCCATAACTGCAACAGTGGCAACTTTTGTAACATTTGTGGGGTTTCTCCCCCAATATTCGTAAACTTAATTGAAGAGTCATGTTTTAACGTGACTGTCTATAGTTAGCGGCCACTTAAAACGTAAGGCTTGAATATGTTCAAGTGGTGTCTACTGTAGCCCCAGAAAGGGAAATTTGGGTTGGAAAAATTTTTCTACTGGGTACATTGGCCTGGGGAAGGGGACTACGGATTACGTTGCCAAAGAAACGATTGACCAAATTTAACATTGATGTAGTTCACCTTACTGACTAAACATTTCGGTAGTTTAACTCATATAACTATGAAGGTGCTTAACCAGAACTGTAGTCACATTTCTTATCTTCCCTGATGTGTTAGCCCTACCCTTACCTGTAGCACAGATTCCTGCGTGCAAGCTAAATGAGCCTATCCTGGGGGGGAAATGTGGTACCTATGATCTTGCTGAGACAAAATACCTGACATCCATACTTAAGGAGGAAAAGTTTATGTGGCCCAGTTTGTAAAGGTCTGTTTATAGTTGGCTGGCTACCAGCAGGGTGGCCCACCAAAGCGGCATCTCAGAAGACTTGCTGTTGGAAAAGGCAACAGAAGCGGCCCTCTGTCCCTTATGTTGTATCCAGACTACTTGCCTTTAGGGAAGGGTAGCACTACACCCTAAATCCTAGCATCACAGCACAAATCAATCCCAACATCACATCCTTAATCCCAGCATCACACACTAGATCCAGGCACCACTGAAAAGCTCCACCTATGCCCACATGAGGCTTTGGGGAGACATCTAGATCCAAATCAGAACATGCAGTAACATTAATAAACCTGGTTGCAAGACATCTTTTTAATTTTCCTGAAAGTACTGACAAAAGTAATTTCAACACATGTGCACACAGCTGGGTTCACCCTGCAGGCTTCAGACACTGGAACAGAAATTTGATAAATTGCTTCTCATTTAGAGTCCAGCAAAGGTGATAGGATGTAAATGTGTATCTATGATTAGATCATCTCTCATTGTAATATCCATTTCACTGGACTCTCAAATGCCGGCTTTGATGCATCAAGATGAACTGCTGGGAGGCTCAAATGAATAAACTCAGAACCCTCTGGAAACTAACAAAGGAGCCTCCAGCTGGCAAACCACAAGAAAACAAACCTTCAGTCCTACAAACAAATTTACACCCTGCCTTAGTGAAGTTGTAATCTAACCATTCCCCATTCAAAGGTCCAAGAGATTTCAGCTGTGGCCAACAGTACAAGGATCTGGCTAAGCCACACGCTGTCCCACTGCAAATTCAAGACTGATGGAATTGTCTCGGTGAGAGTGACCGCTAGGTGATCTGTGGGTGCATTCTGTGGGAGTTGCTGGGAAGTCCCAGGGACAACAGATTAAAGATAATCACCCGGATGTGCGCTCACTATGTCCCATGTGCTCCCCTAAGGAAAGAATGTCTCCCTGAATGTTTATTTAGATGTATGCCTTGCGATAGCTTCACTCCCGGAACAGAATTTATTGTCTTCATTTATGTAATCTCTGTAATCTTTTAACTTCTTTTATGAGTAATGTAGCCTATTCCGCACTGAAAGTACATGACTAGTGACATGTAGCAGCTCACTGTGAAAGATACAAAAAGAACAAATCTTGGTCTTTGCTCTTCAAAGCTGTGACCCTCTGTGCCTCTGTTTTGTGTCTTTCTTTTCTAAATAAGTCCCTTTCCCTTCAGGACACCCATCAAAGATACAACAGGAGAGTTGTTTAAAGCCACTGAATTTGAGGTGCTGTATTATACAATAGATAACTAATACTTCCTTAACGTACTTGAAATCACCAAAAACCCACTTTCTAGCCCAAATAACGGATTTGATGAACTGAAACTGTAATCCTGATCTAAGATATTTAAAAGAATAAGTATATGAATATTGTTTCACAACCCCCTACCCCCACCCCGTGAGAGAACATCCACCCATGGTTTGTCACAAATATTGGTCATGCCTCCATGACTATCCTAAAAGGAACTTGTTAAGTTTGATGTTCACACAAACACAATTTATCCAGCTCAAATCATTTTAAGCAATAAAGATACCAATGATCTATCTTCAAAATATGAACATGTGCAACCAATGGATTCCCATTTGTATCCTTATGCACTCCCAGCAGTAACAGGTCTTTATTTACCCAACCTTACTTCCACCCTACCGCACCCCTTTAGTCAGTGCCTGGTTCATGTACAACAAAACAGAAATAAAAAAAAAAAAGAACAGGTCAGAACCTGGACAAGCACTATGGAGAGAAGAGTGTATCAAAACTTGTCTCAAAGAAAGGTATTGAAAAGTTTATTTTTAATGAAAATTTGAAGAATTGCCTTGGAAATAATCAACAGGCATAATAGGATTAAACTTTCAAGTCCAAGAACAGGAACTGCCCCGGCCTAATCCATTACCTGCTCTATGAACTGATATGTCACCTTTATAAAATGAGGCATTAAATCTGTAAAACAGATAAAACTACAATGTGGGCACTATATTTGAACCCATAAAAAATTAAGTTAAAGTATTACACTACTTTAAATGCCACATGTGGCCACTATAGAATCATATTAAAATCTAAATATGGGACAAGTTTGAGAAAATTCATATATGTAGAACATCAACTGAAGCTTATAATATCTAAACATAAGCAAAAAATTAGCAATAGTAGAAAATTTGTTGCAATACTTTTCCTACTGCATACAATTGTGTTAAAATTCCTTGCTTCACTGAAAACTTGAAGTTAAATCACACACTGTCAATATGTTTCATATACACCCTATTTACAACAGATAAGGTGCAGAAACAAGATAAAACATCTTTATAAAACACATTTGGAAAATATCTTGTTGTGAGAATGCAATAGGCAAAAGTCGGTGGCTCTCATAAGAGCCCTCTGAGCAGTAAGATCAAGAAAAATGTTTATTTGGAGACTGTGACCTTGTTGACAATTTTGAAGATCTCAGACATGGGGTATGTGGCCACCTACCCCAGAGGTAGATAGAACCTGGATCTCTCTGGACAAGATGGTCCACTGTTCCTTGTAATGTGCCAGGAGAGGTGCATCACCCACAGTAAGCCTGAAGATTTTGACAATCACCTGCTTTGGCACCTCATGCACCTACCCAGAATAGCTCTACTTGCTGCAGCATTTCTTTTGGCCATCTTTCCTCACCACCATAGTCAAAGTCATTTTAGTAACCATTGCTATTGGTAGAACAGAAAAACATGGAGACTTCCACTGACAATCACAAAGTTCCTGTATATTGTACATATGCACAACCAAGGACTTATAAATCTAAGCTCTGACTAGAGCAAATTAACCAGAAGATTATCAGTATGTAAATAAAGATTTCCAATTCTGCTTTTCTTTTTTATTAGTTGAAAAAGGAACACCACCCGGAGCCCTTTAGGCTCATTTATAATAGTTACAATTTTACTAAGATTCCATCAAACCTCTTTTTACCATTTCTTTTGGATTTTGAAAATAACTAGGAACTGTCACATTTGAACCGAAAAATCAGGAAAAATATTCTCTAATCTGGGAAGGTGCAAATCCCAACAGAAGCTCAGTCAGTCAGAAATTGTTCAGAACACCCCGGGTGTCTCTGGAAAGAACCATGAGACTCTGCTGCTCTGGGCTCATAAAGAAATGGGAGACTCTTCCCTGCCATCTCTTTCACGGTTGTAAATTGAAATTTTTTCCCGTGTGCTTTTGGCACTATGTAGATTTTTCAAAAAACAAAACAAAACCAGTCAAAGTGGCAAGTTGTCCCTTTGCTTCAAACTAGATGTTAAAGGAACAGGGACACATTCAAATTTTCCTGCATGTATCTGGAATGAAAATCAAATTTCTTTACTTTTGAGAAGAATATTATGCAAGAGTCTGTCTTAGAGAATTAGATATCTACTCAAATAAAATTAAGGCCCATGAAAAGACAGACAACCTCTGTTGGTGGTTTGAGTTTTGTTCACCCTCCCCTCAGGCCCTGCAGTGCTGCTGTGAATCGGAGCCTTGCTCATGCTTATGCAAGCTCTGTATATCAAGTCCCAGACTTTTCAATCAGGAAAGAAAAATGCTAGAAGGAAAACAGCAGTTAAGTAGGAAAAACCAGCAGGTGTTTTTGCCGACTTAAATCGATAAGCACTGTCTCTTTCACACATTCTGCTTTACAACCAAAAAGATGGAAAAGCAAGAATATCAAGTTGTATGATTAATGTACTTATGTTTAACCCTCGAAGGTGGGGAAGCATTATAAAAGAAAGCTGCAGGCTAGAAGTTGATTTTTTAGGGGGCTTTGTAACTGAAATTAATGCATGAGAAACTGCATTAAAAGGATCGACCAGGCTTGAATCACTCTGGGCACTTCCGGAAGTTAGGAACCACCGAGAAATCTTCCCAAATCCAATCAGAGTAACTCAGTTCCTGTATAAATAGAGAAGCCAGCCAGCGTTTCATCCGCCTGCTTTCTGTTTGCTCCATAACTCACACTAAGCAAGCCGCCCGAAAGTCCACCTGCGGCAAGACCCCGCGCAAGCAGCTGGCTACCAGGGCTGCCTGCAAGAGCGCGTGAAGAAGCCGCACCGCTACCGGGCCGGCACCGAGGCGCTGCGCGAGATCCGACGCTACCAGAAATTCACCAAGCTGCTGATCCGCAAGCTGCCGTTCCAGCGCCTGGTGCGCGAGATCGCGCAGGACTTCAAGACTGACCTGCGCTTCCAGAGCTCTGCCGTCATGGCGCTGCACGAGGCGTCTGAGGCCTACCTCGTGGGGCTGTTCGAGGACACGAACCTGTGTGCCATCCACGCCAAGCGGGTCACCATGCCCAAGGACATCCAGCTGGCACTAAGTATCCGCGGGGAGAGGACATAAATTGCTCTTCAAATGCCAACTTAACTGCTTTCTCTGAAAGAAACTGTAGTTCTGCTAGTGAATAATTTAACAAGTGAGGTTTATTTACTCTGTCTTTAAAGGTTGGGGGTAGCTTTGGAAGTAAGCTTTTAACTCCTCAATGGATGAACACGTTTTCCCATTAGCTTTCATAAATTGCCACTCCCAAGCAGCCTTTTAATCTAGTCTCAACTGGTTAATCTTAGTTTTCGATCACCCTGGTTTCACCCATCCCCTTCCCTTTTAGCAGTTTATGGCCAGCCACTTAATGGTGTGTCAACGCTGAAAAGGCTTGGATTTGCAGGAAGCTTGTAGAGTACAAAGACCCAAGGCTCTTGGTCCACAGCAGGGTTTTCTTGTTCACTGGGTGTTATAGTCCAGTTTGTTGCTGGGACCTGCCAGGATTTATACCCCCTTACTAGGACAGAACCCTGGGCCTTTGCTTTGAGCTATATATACATTTTTAAGACAGTCTTAAGTAAATCAGTAAGTTGCCCAGAATGAGCTCCAACCTGTAATCCTACTGCCTCTACTGAACATGTTCTGCCCCAACTTCCTAGGTGCTGGAACTAGAAGCATGCTCCAACATTCCAGGCTTGCCAGCACCCTCTTGTGCCAGGTCTCGCACACATCACTGAGCTCCTGATGGGCCAAGGCTTAGCTTGTTATTAGGTGGATTACGAAGGACACAGATTCTGTTGGCCTGTATTCAGGTTTAATCGGCAAAGACTGAAGGAACAAATAACAGTCTCAGACAAACCTCTGAATGTGAGTTCAACAGAAACGCTGAGCCTTTCCAACTTTTCAACTGACATCCTCAAAAGGAACTTTTAAGCTTTCCTAAATAAGTCCTACTCTCTTGATCAAATCTTATCAAAATACCCCATAGTTATCACTAAGACACAAAAATCCTGAACACCACTGGAACACTCTCTGGCAAGAAATACTCTGTGCTTTTCACTCATACAAAAGCACCATTATGGTGACACCTTATAACATGTCCTTTCCCTGGAAGAAACATTCCTCATCGTTTCTGAACAGATAGCTAAATAAATCAGGAACTGAGTGTCTGGCTCTGGTTTGGAAATGTAGGAGAATGTTTACTATGTGAGAAACTGTTCTTCGAAGACTTTTTGTCTAAACATTTAGCAAATCTATGAGGTATCTTTAATTGTGCTTAAAAGGTTAAAAGTTTTTTAAAATTGTAAAACTCCAAAATAATTGAAATAATATCAAAAAATTTTATTATGAAATGCTGTTTCCCAACAAGTATCACTAAGGAAAGAAGTTAATTGGGTAGTAAAGTTAATAATGAATGTGTCTCAAAGTGATACAAAAGGCAAGTTAACCATAGTGATGGGGGAGGCAGACAATAAGACTTGGGTATTGTGAACTGGAGAACTAAATCCATCTGGAAAAAAGCTTAATGGTGAATAAAATAACTAGTCATAAGTGTTTGTTATACAGTGATTCCCTATCATGTCAAATGAAAGAATTCCATAGTTGAATGCATTTTCCTGCATACTTGTGAGCACAGTCCTATTTCCAGATTCTAGCACTGCACCTTTGTAACCTATGGTTCTGTCTGACAGCTGTTGGACTTTAAGACTTGAAGTAGTGAAGACAGAAATCACCTTAAGTCATGAAATCCATCAGAACATCCAGCATGGCCCTGTGCTTAACACAAACACAAAGGGAAGCTTTAATCAAACTGACATTTAAAATTAAAGGGCTTTGTTTTTTGTTTTTGTTTCTGTTTTTTGGTACCAGGAATCGAACTCAGGACCTTGCACTTGCCAGTTAGGCGCACCACCACTGAGCTGCATCCCCAGCCCCAAAGTAAAAGATTAATGAACACACAGAAGTTATCATTCAGTGCAGTCCTGTTAATAGAAATGAAAGATGGAGTTTATATAATTTTAATATGTAGTTTTCCTATCCTAAATAAAAATTATCAACATTTATTAACTGGCTGCAATGGGCCAGAAGTCCTTTATGATGCCACTAAAAATAAAAATTATTACTTACTATGTATTTATCAAAGACATAATTGTCATTCTACCAGTATAAAACTGACAAGAAAGCTTCAGAAATGTGGTAGAGCCAATAATTTTCACATTAAGCTTGAAATTTTACCAAACAACATCAGCATAACTATGATCAGCTACCCCTGATAGCTTTAGCATTTGAGGTGCCTGTTATGACTTGTATCTAGATGTTCCCCCCAAAGCCTCATGAAGACATAGGTGGGGCTTTTTTTGAGGTGGCTGGACCTAGGGTGGGTGATGATGGGATCAGGCATGCGATGCTAGGATTAAGGGTGTGAGTGCTACCCATCCTAAGGGTGGATAGCCTGGATTAGATATAAGGGACAGAAAAGTGATTATCACAGATTGCTTCTCACTCACTTGCTGCTTGCTGCCTTCTGCCTGCCTGCTCTGTGATGGCCCTTTTTTCCATGCCACCCTGCTTTAGAGCCAGCCAAATATGAACTAAAACCTCTACCAACTGTGAGCTAAATAAACCTTTCCTCTTATAGCTTTACGGTTCAGTATTTTATCTGAATAATGAGAAAAGTAACTAAGACAGTGTCTCAGGAAAGTTGACATAGTTTTATTGGTAGAATTTTTAAATCTTTTCATACTGAAAAAATCTCTGGGGGCCAGGGAGTAGGTGTTACTGGGGATTGAAGCCAAGGCCTTCACACTAAGCTACATCCCCAGACTTTTCTTTTGTTTTTTCAGCTAAAACACTAGGTTGCCCATGCTGGCCTTAAATTGCCACCCTCTTGCCTCCCAGAGTTCTGGGATTACAGGCCCATGCCACTCCAACCAGCTCTGTTGGTAAATTGTATTGCACTGCAGTTGTAGAAAATGCTACAGAAATGTCATCGATTCACATATATAAAAGTATAACATTAACACAGATAAGGCTTGGCCTTTGCCTGGCATTCAATTAATAATGTGTGTGCTTGTGTTATTAGGGATTTAATCCAGGTCCTTCACACTAGCCATAGCCCTACCTCTTTTACTTTTTACTTTGAGACAAGGTCTCTCAACTCTCTAAATTGCTCAGGTTGGGCTCAAACTTTTGACCAATTAATAATCTTGACGAGTTAACCACATATGCACAAACACACACACAAGAATTTTATGCTTTTAATTTTAAATGTCTTGTGTCATGACAACACCTATAATCCCAACACTTAGGAGGCTGAGACAATATAGTCATTGCAAGTTCAGGGCCAGCCTGGCCAACAGAGTGAGACCCTGGATCAAAAAACAAATAACAACAAAATAATGAATGAATAATATGAATTGTGATTTTATTCAGAGAACACAATTTTCTTTTAGACACAATCTTGCTGTGTATTTCAGGCTGGCCTTTAACTCACTGTGAAGCTCAAGCTGGCCTCAAATGTACTTGATCCTCCTGCCTCAGCCTCTCCACCTACGGGATTACAAGCATGCACCACCAAACCCAGTCAGATATCACAAATCTGATTCATTTATTTCACATGTACCTGTTGGTAGATTATTCTCTGTAATCACGTCAGGCTTACAGGACTACTTGCAAACACCTTTGGATTTAGAAAATGAGGCCCTAAAGTGACACATCCTCAGAGTTTCTTTCTGACCTTTTACTCTTTCCTTGTCTCAGGTCCCTGTTATCCCCCCAAGGCATGACAGAAACTAGAATTTCACCCCCTCCTCCCAATCCAGGTACTAGAAGACAGAGCCAGAGCTGCTTTTCTCCAACCAAGCCATAAAGCCTAGAAACAGTGCTGTAATCTTCCAGCAAACTTTCTTCATCTTGGAGTGGGCCATAAAGAAACTTTCTGACCTACCTTGCTTGAGAGTAGATCATAAGCTTCTCATTCCAGGAGTCCTGCCCCTCCCCTAAAGAGGTGATTGCTGCACACAAAGGCTGAGAAAAATCTGGGCAGACCTTGTGGTTTCCCCCATGCATTTAAATATCATTCCATTACATCCATTTTGCCCGATACTATTTCTAAATGGCTGCCCGTGCTCCCTAAGCATAAAAATGTGTATTTTACCTTTGGTTCTGATCTTGTCTCCAAAACCACTATGTCAAATAAAACTATAATCAGATAAAGGTATTATCCTTTTCTTTTTAACTTGTCCTCTTACTTTTCTTGTTGCTTGGACAAAACAACAAGTTAAAGGAGGAAAAGTTTATTTCAACTCACAATTTGAAGAGACTTTAGTCCACAGTCAGCTGGTTCCAAAGCAGGGCAGCATGGCAGACAGGGATCACAGGAGAGAAGCTGTCCATGGTGTGGCGAGCAGCAGCAGAAGTGAACTTGCCTTTCCCTTTTCTCCCCAACAGGCTATAAACCTCTTGGGTGGTGCCTCCCACACCCAGGGTTGGCTTCTGTCTTCAGTAAATCCATTCTGGCACACCCAGAACTAGGATAATTCCAACCAGTAAACTAATTTATGACCACAGACCCTTAATTCCAATATCAAACACCCTAGGTTGAGCCACTTCCAGAAAGCCCCTCCTATGAGGGCATGAGGCTTTGAGAGGACATGTAGATACAGTGGACCCTTTATTTACGAACTCAATTTGTTCATCAGAGGTGGTTGTAGCTCAAATTGGTCAACTGAAGGCTCAGGCTCCTTTACCCAGCCTTCAAAGTCTCTCGCCTGTATAAAGGCAGATCTCAGCAGCCTTAGAGAAAGATTGGCTGAGGATTTCTCAATGAATCCCACACAAGAAAAGGATGTTGCAATGTTCCTTCCAAAACTCTTTGAGTTAAATCTGTATCTGAGACCATCTGGAAGCACAAGTGGCCAGCGTTCAGGTCATAAATCAAGACATTGGTCATAAGTTAAAACTGAAATTCCGATCATAAGCCAAGTTGTTTGTGTGTCAGGGCCAGTCATAACTTGAGGGTGCACTATACAAGTTGTAACACCTGTCCTTTGTTGTTTGGGTTTTGGCCCATGACCCTTTACGATGGACAAAGAACGCATTCACACCTTTTTTCTTCTCCTGCAGAATATAAAATCTAAATAACAGAAATGTAATCTGTAAATGACCAATAACTGTATGTTACGAAAATCGGTAAATTTATACTTCATAATTTCTCCACATTCTCCCTACTGCATCTGCCCACAGTAATTATTGATATTTCATATTTTGAGAGGTTTTTTTACTGCAAAGTCAGAAATATTTTTGAGTTTTGTAGTAGCCCCAAAACTTTGGAATGGCATACTTTACAAGTTCAGAAAGATAGTCTGCAAATCAGGCCTTGGGAAACAGCAGAGAACTCTGTTACCACTGTCTTCTTATATAGGAAAACACAAACTAATTGAATGTGATTAGTATCTGGCAATAATGTATTTCAGTAAAGAGGATTTTGAAAATTCAATTAAACATATACACACCCAGAGTAGAGAAAAACAAGACAAAGATTAATTCCCTAGTTATTAGAAATCCATGCGTTAAGTTTGTTCTGCTGGGAATAACTATACCCCATTTCACAAAAGGACATTACTAGACTTTGAGGGGAGAAGAGTGCAAGGAGAAGGAGTCTAGCTATTTCGCCTCAACTGGCCTGGAAACTGAGATCCTCCTGACTCAGCCTCCCAAGTAGCTAGAATTACAGGTACATTATACTATGCCCAGCTAATAACTAGATATTTAAATTAGAGGAATTTGTTCAAGGAGATGAAATTTGAGATGGAACTCTAAGCAGCAAAAGGATTATCACAGAAGAAAACAGAGGGAATTGCTGGTAAGAAGTTGTGAGTGTGAAATAATAATAGAAACGAAGATTAATTTGTGTTGTTATTAGCGCCTGTGAATGTGAGCAAAAAGATATAATCATGAAAAGATGCCACAATTTTTCACTTGACTGAAAAGCAATGCGGAGTCAGTGACCATTTTTATCAGTATATTTTGGTTTTGGTTTTGCACAATGACTAGAATGTAGTAGTTGGAGCTCTTAGAGAAACTAGAACTAGGAAACTGATCAGGAAGCAATAAAATCATCCCAGCTGTGAGATGAAGAGCATGTGTGGAGAAAATATAGGATATATTGAGAATTCTTTAAAAGTTAACCTGAAGCCTGACGTGGTGTTGCATGCCTGTAATCCCTGCACTCAGAAGGCTGGGGGTCAAGGTCAGCCTGGCCTACAGAGTGAGTTCAAGGCCAGCCTGAGCTACACAGTAAGGCCTTGCCTGAAAAACTGCAACAGAAAAAATTATAAGAAGCAGTAGTGGTTCAAAAAACTTGAAATCCTGCTTAACGGAGCTGTGTCCAAAAAAGAAACCTGAGTTATTAACTGTGAGTGACAGAAAAATTAAGACCTCCACACATTAACATTAACTCAGCCTCCACCAGTTGAACAAAGTCAGGCAATTACTACATCAAAGGAACAAAGTAGTGCCTGCAAGTTACTTCTATGTCAGACCCATGCCCTATACAAAAGTGTTCTCCAGCAGCAGAGAGAATATGAAAATGTCCTTCACATCTTCCATGTTGTCTTCAGTCTTTACTCATCCATCCTCTGGCAGTCACTGTAACCCAATTTATCTGCTGAAAAATCATAAGAAATGGACGAAAAAATGTTTAAAGTTCTCTTTCCCTTGAAAATAAGTACTTGTTCAAAGCAGAGGAACGTCAATGTGAATTGACATAAGTCAGAGTAAGGCTCTGGAAGGTTGTGGACTTCATTGCTTCCTTTGCATTCCTTGCAGCTTGGGAAATGAATGGCTCACAATGAGCTAAAAATCAAATAGGGACATGTCTTCTTGTTCGATAAGCCTAAAAAGTAACTGAATTCCAACACTTTTCCTTAAGAGACAGGTGTAGTATGAGAAAAAGCAAAGAATCGAGAAGCTCATGTTACAGACTCCTAGTCTATTTCATATACTGACAACAAATGCTCATTTCTGGTCATGAGGTCTTTCTAAGCCCAGCATTTTCTCAACTTTAAAATAATCACTTCAAGGAGGGGGATTTAGCTCCGTGGCACCGTGCCTGCCTCACAAGTTCAAGGTCCTATGTTCGATCCCCAGTACCAAAAAAATAAAGAAAAAAATTAAATAATCATTTTATTCACACCTAATATCAGTGCTTTGTAGTGAGACCCAAATAAGACAGTTATAGTAAGGCTTTAAAAGCCCTAAAGTAGAGCTCTGATGGTCACTGTGATTGTGCTTACTGACTGAGATGTCCCACCCTCAGTAAGAGCCTAACTCTCATTCCGGAACCGAAGACCTCCCTGATTTCTTCCTCTTTCCTGCTGGATGACTCAAATATATTATTTAAAATATATTTTCCATTTGCCATTTGCCATTCTCTGATGATTCCCATATCCTTCCCAACCAAGCCACTGGCATAAAAGAAAGGTTTCCTGGCTTTCACTAGAAAGAAAAAATTGAGATGCAGCACTGGTTCAAAAAACTTAAAATGCTGCTTAACAGAGCTAGGAAGACAGTCCTGGCCACAGCCCTCTCCCTTTTTAAAAAAAAAAAAAAAAAAAATAGAAAAGTTTAAGTAAGATGTAAAATTTAATAAAGCATTACAGAATAAGTAAACAAAAGAGAAAACAAATGCAGTGAACAGGTATTTCAATCAGGAGGGATTTTCAGGATTCTGGGGCTCAAGATTTCAGGGCATGTATTGGAAGTCCAGTATATAGTCTGTGCAAACACCCACAGACCTTCTCAAAACAGTGGCTTTTAAGGACAGGGGGAAAATGAAAGTTATCAAAGAAATTTCATGTACAGCAATATATTTGCTTCTTTAGTAATAGAAACGTGTCAGTTCGAAAGACTTACCGATTGCAAACTTCATTTGAAGAAACTCCTGAATAACTACTGATCACAAAACATGTGCCATCACACTACTGATGAAAACGCCATAGATACTTTGAAATCCAGTGTTATTAGTCACCTCTAAAGATAACTGAAGGAACTGACAATCTGCACTTAAAGACTGTGTAAAAATATGTAAATTTTTCCCACTGAGCCCTATAGGTATCTGTAGAATTATGTGGTCAGGATTTGTGAGTAAATCTGCTTTGCAAAAATAAAACTAAGTTTTTAAAAAATTAATCAAGATCAAACAGAATGGTAGTCCGTCCCAGTCAACTCCTCTTCCCATAGCCCATTTTCTTTGCCCTGGTAATTCCAATGTAATTACCTTGCTTGCAAAGCATGCCACCTTCTAAGGTTTCCCCTTGTCTACTTACCAAACAGAAACGGGGCAAGAGCTAACCACGGATCCCAGGGTGCCCTAAACAGTTTGTGAGGAAGAAAAATGGCAAAGAAAATATTAGATGGAAAAGTTACAGAAATGCTCTATAAATTTCTTGCCATACGTTAACATCGGGGTGGTAGCAATAATTATCCAGATTATAGCAGCGTACCTACTATTCAAACAATCTAAAAAAAAAAAAAAAAAACCCACGACTTTCAGTAAGAAAAAAAAAAATCCAAGCCTCTCAGGTTTCCCAGTACACATACGTACCAAGACAAGCGGCAGGGGTTTCAGCTTCTCTGGCCACTTCCTGGTACGCGCGTACAATGTTAATGCTTCAATCTTACTGATCTAACATTTTCTTAGGGGAAACCTTACCAATGCAACAAAAATCCAGATATAGTTTGAACATCCGGATTGGCTACCTCCACAGCCAATGCAGACCAATGAGAAAATAGCTTGGACAACAGTCGGAGGCTACCATCCCTCCCTCTGATTGGCTCAGTTGTGCTCAAAATGCCGACGCGCGTAAAACAAAATCTCTTCCCAGGCTGTTATTCCTAAGTATCCCACTGCCCACCGTCGTGAAGAGTCTCTTCCAAAGGGTAATCACGACCAATAGGTCCGACTCACGGCGCAGAGCCGAGCTACGCAGAACACTGATGCAAACGCGCACCATACCGCACCCACGACCTCCTAACCCATGGCGCTGCACAAAGGGGAACACGTAGCCATTTCTCAGAGGGTCTAACACAATTCGGAACTAGCCACCCCACAGAAAACCTTAAAGACCAAAACAAGGGCGACCTAGCTGACAAATCCGCACAGTAAGAATAGCTTAACTATGCGGACTCACACCATCTGAATTAGGGAACGACCAGCCAAGTACCCAAGGCATGTTTCCCCGAAAAATGTTACCTAAGTGTTCAGCTCTTTTGAACGATAAACTTAGGTGGCTCTGAAAAGAGCCGTTGAGATTTTTTAAGCAAGATCGGTTGGCATCTTCACTTCTTCTTAGGAGCAGCTTTCTTGGCCTTCGTAACCTTAGGCTTAGACGCTTTCGGTTTGGCAGCCTTTGGTTTAGAGGCTTTGGCCTTAGCTGGGCTCTTGGCAGCCTTCTTGGACTTGGCCGCTTTCACCTTCTTGGGACTCTTGGCCACCTTCTTGGTGCCAGCAGCCGCAGCGGGCTTCTTCGCCTTCTTGGGGGTCTTCTTGGCGCTCTTCTTGGGGGCAGCCGAGCCCGCAGCCTTCTTGGGCTTCTTCGCGGCCCCCACGGGTTTCTTGGGCTTGGCCGCGCCCGCCTTCTTAGCCTTGGGCTTGGCCTCCCCAGAAGCCGCCTTCTTGTTGAGCTTGAAGGAGCCGGAAGCGCCAGTGCCCTTGGTCTGCACCAGGGTGCCTTTGCTCACCAGACTCTTGAGCCCCAACTTGATGCGGCTATTGTTCTTCTCCACGTCGTAGCCGGCGGCCGCTAGCGCCTTCTTGAGCGCGGCCAGCGACACCCCACTGCGCTCCTTGGAAGCGGCCACAGCCTTGGTGATCAGCTCGGACACCGGGGGCCCGGTCGTCTTGCGCTTCGCAGCACCCGTCTTCTTCGCCTTCTTCTTCACAGGTGCTTTCTCCGCAGGTGCAGGAGCAGCAGGAGCAACTGGAGCAGTTTCCGACATGTTTCTACCTCACCAAGACAGAGAAAACTAAATTCAAACTGTCAGAACGGCGTGTCTCTGGTACTGAAGGCTAGGGGTTTATATAGAGAGACGCTGCGTGGTGATTGGTTCCCTGCTCAGTGCGCCGCGCGGCTGGAGAAGAGATCCTCCGCTTTTCCCTGAGGCTGTGTTTGTTGCGCCTTAAAAAAGAGTAAAAATAAAAGAAATCTGGTCACGAAATAATTAGGGATTTGGGGGAACCGGATCCGAGAGGCCTCAGGCTTCATCCATGCCTTGTTTTCTACATCTAGTTTCAAAACCGGCTCCCTGAAGCTTCCCTGATTCCCCCAACTCTCTTCCAAACTTGGGTCAAAACGAGACAACTTTCAGGTTTTCCTTAAAAATACTACTTCTCTCTGATTCGTTTGCAAACCTTTCTTTCCAGGCATTGTTCTGCGCATCCTTATCGTCTCAAGAGTACAAAAATAAACTCATTTATACTGAAATATATAGGGAAAATCAGGTTTTTCGCGGAAGCAATAGCACAAGCTCTCCTGTGTGCTGTTTGCTCTAAGCTGTAGGAATTGGCACTGGAATGCAAAGTTCTACTTACACGTGGGATGATTATTAAGGAAAATATGGATTTTTTGAAAAAGTATTTGTGTTACCAGTGTGCAAGGTGGGGTTGATCCCAATTCTAGTGACTGTAATATTTTTTAAAAGATAAGGGTGTGGCGGTTCCATTCTGCTTCTGAATACACTTTTCTGACCTAGAATGGGCATTAGAGATGAATAATCTGAGCTATTAAGAAAAAAAAATTTTTAATGCCAGGACCACATCATTTTACCTAGTGTCACCTGAAGTAAATTGGGACATCTCATACGTGTAAGTCGCATTATTTTAAAATTGTAAATCATGTAATGACATACACCTGGTTGTAAGACTGCTCCATCTAACAACGTATTTGTACTTCAAAATGATATTTGAAATTAGCAAACTACAAATATGAATAAAAAGGGTTTAGAAAGAAAAAAAATTTCTGAAGGCACATAGTTCTCTCTCTGCTTTTAACTTTTAAAATGTGGGCTATGCTATTGCAGTAGGAGGTGGCTGAATGTGCCCACATAAAGAACTGAGCAAACAGGAGTGCTTTTAGTACATAGTTTGCCTTGCAATAAAAAAGAGCTGATGTAAATACATTATTGTTGAGTACAGAACCACAAAAGTAAAATTCTCCGCTGAATTTCTGTTTGTTAAAAAGAAATTTAAAAAGTAACGTAGTATTATATTTATTTTAATGGATATTTCTATTTCCAAAGCTAGTGTTTTTGCCCTAAACTCAATTATGACTGGAAATGTTTTCTCATATACACACAACATAAGATAACAAAAGTTAAAGATTTCATGTGTCCACGCTTGTAGAATTCCATTAAAATAATTTTCTTTTAAATAATCATTTTTGAATCCACACACAATAAATAAATAAATAAATAAATAATCATTTTTAGGTAGCATACACTGAAATTAAGTCTGCGATCTAAAAGACAGTCATACAACATAAAAATACAAGTACTGTTTATAAAGGAAGTCAGCAATAGAATGACATCAGCAGCACTCAGAAATTTCTCTAAGAAGCATTTTATTGGAAGGGAGAGTGTGTCAGCACTTGGTCACAAGCATCGTGTGAGGAACTCTTCCTTTTGGTTATACAGCTTTATATTATGTAATCCTGCAGATACAATAAACAGATTCTTAAAAGTTTGAAACTTTGGCCATCATTGTAGTGATAATTAAGGTAGGTGAACAATGTGTGGAATTGTTATATTTGATAAGCATGTATCACCATTCCATCTCTGCATATCTCTGAGTGGTTCCCGTGGATAGATTCCCAATGAATGAGAAGGCATTCCCTGTAAGGGCCATTTTGTCAATTTGTGATAGATAATCTGTGCCCTAACTGAAGGACAATAACTGAGACTCCATTTCTCCAGATAAGTTCATTTCCACATCTTCATGGAAGAAAAGTGTGCTGAATACAGTTACTGTGTTATTATTTGGGACCTACACGCCTATCAGAACAAGGTTGCTGAAGTCTGGATCACCCATGGAATGGTAAACTGGAAGTACTAAAGACTCCCAAGTACTGTTTTCATAGGGAAGCCCTCAAGAAAGAGTTGTTTTCTTTGCCTTTGTATCTGACATTGAACATAGCCTAAAATAGTACAATGTCCTCTATACTGGCTTTAACCATTTGTTTTATACAGAAAAAAAAAAACTACTTAAATACATGGCAGCTGTCTAATTTATGGCTTCTATTTCTCTCAATTTTGTGTAAACTCCCACCACCACCACAACCCTAACATATGACTATGAGATACAGGTAGCTTTCACTACGTCGTACCACGGTGGTTGTGTTTAAGCAATCCAAAATGCCCTGAATTTCAAAGATTTCAGGAGCAAAGTACTGCACAATAAGTATCAACAAGGACTACACACAACACAAGGACTACAGAAAAGACAGAACTTTGTTAAAATCAAATGTGAAGTCAGTATTTTAACACCCTATCATGTGGCCTTACATCAGGGCACTGGCCAATTGATACCCCCTCCAGCACAAGCATAATGTATCAGTTTTATTTCCTGAAAAGGACACTAATGCTTTCAAACTTCAAATCTCCTTTTAACATGTCTCTAGTCCACCTGCAAGTATATCAGATCTGGAAGATGCCTAATCTCTATGAAATATTATAAATACTCTAAGTCTTCATTCTTAGGCATGTGCCACATTGCCGTGCCCAGTCCTGACCAAAAGCTCCTCAGAAGTAATCCTTTACCACAGACCAGCACAGCAGAACTTTCAGCAATTGTCCAATAGGTTACCACTACCCACACATGGCTGCTGCGCACTTCAAAGCCTTTTGTTATTCAAGTCACATTTATCTTAAATTTCATATAACTGGAATTCCAATGAGTACAGGTGGCTAGTGGCTACTACAAACAGGACAGCACCACTTCAAGACAATTCTTTAAAAAAAAAGTAAGCACACCACCCACTGAAAGATTTTGTGTGAAGCACAAAAGATTCAGAGGGAAGAGTGAAATTTTCTTCTGTCTAACAAGTTTTCAGGTAATGACAATGCAATTGGGATATAGCTGCCTCACTAGGCAACAAATGGAAGTGTGCCAGCTTCACGCCTCACCGTTTATCCTGAACTTACTTTCCTCCTCCAACTAGACTGAGTTTTCTAAAAGAAAAGAAGTGACTGTCACTGAAAGCCTGGTATTCACACACCATTGTTGGCTGGTGTGTTGCAGACACTAAATTGCTGAATGAAGGAATGATGGAATCCAGCTTGCATGACACCTTTGTGGAAAGGAAGATCAATGTTTCTTAGCCTGCAGGTAACTGGGCCTCATCTAAATCAGATAGACTCTAAACCCAGAAAATGAATAATTTGTCCCGCCTATAAGGTAAGCACCAACAGAGAAGCAATTTTTTAAAAAATTGCCTCTCCAGTATGTAGAACACTGAATATGAATGTTCCCAACGTGTAAATGCTGGAATTTGTGTACACATATCAAGTAATGATTTGGGAGTACAGCATGTACTTATTCCTTTTACTCTAACATTTCACAGGATGTTTTTGCTGTTATTTTTGTTAATTGTGTGAATTTGCAACTCTTATTCATCTCTATGTACCCACTAGTGTTCTACTGGCATAGACTCAATGGCATGCGGCAAGATCACAACACTCAATAATCAGGACCAGCAGTACCATTTACTAAGAGTCAGATCTCCAGGCCTGGGATTTTCATCACTAGACTGCAAATGATAACTGATGAATTGAAAAGCAAATAATGGGAAATTTAACACGGAATCCCCTTCGCAGAGGTCCTGGATCAAAAGTACTGAAAACAAGGTATGTGTACATAGCCTTATCAAACATATTTGTGGTCGGTAGGTTGTACAAGTTAAGGACAGTCCTTGCAATTTCAAAGAATCTTCTCCCTAAAAAATTAATAGTCTCGGTATGTCGTAGGCCAATGTATAGCCTCCTTTTGCAAATGATAAGACTAAGTAGGAGCCTCACAGACACCAATTCTTAGAATCCTTAGGCCTCCTACAAGACACAGAAACCAGCAAGCAACTCAAAACAAAGAGAAAGTCTGAGAGCCTGACTCTCACGTCCCTCCCGTCTCCGCCCCTTTCCCTTCTCTAGACAACTGCACGCACAGCCAGTAGGGTGGAGAGGCGGGAACAGCGGGTTCTTCCCGCCCGCACGGTGCAGTTCTCAAGAAGGTCCGCAAAAGGGTTATATAAGGAACTGCAGCGATTGCATTTTGCAGTGTTGATCTCTTCACAACTGCTCGCTATGTCTGGACGTGGCAAGGGAGGTAAGGGCCTTGGTAAAGGCGGCGCCAAGCGCCACCGCAAGGTGCTGCGCGACAACATCCAGGGCATCACCAAGCCCGCCATCCGTCGCCTGGCACGCCGCGGCGGTGTCAAGCGCATCTCCGGCCTTATCTACGAGGAGACGCGCGGGGTACTGAAGGTCTTCCTGGAGAACGTGATCCGTGACGCCGTCACCTACACGGAGCACGCCAAGCGCAAGACGGTCACGGCCATGGACGTGGTCTATGCCCTCAAACGCCAGGGACGCACGCTCTACGGCTTTGGCGGCTAAGCCTCCCTAGGATTCAACCCGATCTCATTCATCAAAGGTCCTTTTCAGGGCCACCACATAATTATAAGAGGCTGATGCACTAAATTACAAAGGGGATTTCTTCTCTCTTGTTGTCGGTACAGGGGATCAAACTTTGGTCCTTGCGCATGCAAAGTAGGTGCCGGAACCACTGAGCTAAATACCCGGTCCATTTCTTTATTGCAGCCTTTGAAACTAGTCTCCCCGCTTTCCTGGCACAAACATGGCGCCTCGGCTGTGCAAAACAAAGACCCGAAGGCCACGTGGGTGGAGACATCAGTGAGGCAGATGAAAGGAGCTAAATACTGTGCTTCATCACTGCCTGCAGCTATGGCCTTTAGTTCTATAACCATCCTGTTCCAAGGGTTGCTTATCTTGATGGATGGGCCTCACCGCTACTGCACTGTACATGTGGAGGCGAGGAGATATTTTCGGTTACCCGAGCAATCCCAGGAGTACTTAAGCAAACTACTAGCACTTTGTCTCTTGTGAACATTGCTTACTGTAGCCCAAGATCGTTGCCAAACTGTTCGCCATAAGAAACCTTTAAGGGTCAGGTAATCCCGGTATTAGATGTGCACCTGTTTTAACTGATTTGGCAATATTTGAAAATATTCCTGCCACTTGGAAACGACTACATTGTCAAATCCACACACTGGTCTTGTTTATTACTCTTAACATTTCAAGGTTTTCACAGTATTTTCTGATTTATCTAGATCCTGTTTTTTTATCCTGTTTTCACTTCGTTTTTCTGGCTTGTAATCTTTTGTGATTTTTACAATGCTTTGCATTATTAACTCAAATCCTGCGTGTGTCCTCTCGTCCAGAGTGTGCTTTAAATGGTGAGACATCCAGGTACTGAATAGAACTGAATATATCAGTTCTCCCATCACCTTAACTAATGCCCTATTTCAATACCCTAGTGTAACCAATCACAGACTCCTTATATGCTACCTGATTTATGAACATTTTTGATCTTTCCCACTGTCATCAGAGGTTTGAGCCACTTACAAACTTGGTCCTCTCATCTCTGCCACAATAAACTACTGAGTCTAACAATATTTGCAAAACGTCACCTCAACTCTTGAACCTTCTCTGACACCCGCCTGCCTCCACAACCTCGCACCCAATCATGGACTGTGAAGTTGAATGTACTGAACACCTTGTCACACATGGAACTTTTATTAGTAATCCCTGAAGTACATAGTTTCTTCCACAAGAAGCCCTCAAATCCTTTGGGGGTTCTGCACGCGTTTCTTTCAGGAGAACTTTATCTAGTTCTCCCAGGTGCAGTCACTACCTAAGGTTTCCTCAAGCTGACCAAAGCACGGTCCATATATGTTTCTATACAGCCCGCACAATTCTTTTTTCTGACTACAGCTACTGAACACTTAGAACGTTTGTAGAAGAGTCATGGTTGCCTCCTCCAAATATTTTTTAGGTCTTCTTTAGACAGTATCTTCATTTGCTATCCTCAGGACCTGAAAAAATACATGGCACTTCTAATGTACTTAAATGTTTGTGCAAAGACTGCATGAATGGGTGAATGAAGTTAGGCAACGTGGACCATTAAGAAACTTTTATGCAAATCATCCCCTTCCTTAAAAGTGTGTCTCGCCCCCTACCACAATCTCATCCCTTACTATTTTCCATTACATAAATGTCAAAGTTGTGACTGCCAACCATCTACTGCAAACTTTTTTAAATGCAGATTTTGAAGTATTTATGAGTAATGAAAATAATTTAGTGAATATATTAAAACAATGGAATGGCATGGAATGAATGCATGGAATTATCAATGCAGTTTCTCTGTAACACATAAAAATGTGCTCTGAAGTTCTATATGTGCATTCAGTTTGCTCTCATTTGAAACTTGTAGGAAGGCCTTCCTCAGGGCATAAATGTTTACCAATAAAAATAGAAAATATCCCTAAAAGAGACCCAACTCCCTTTTTTTAAACAAAACTCTTATTTACAATGTTATGAACAGATTATGATCAAGCATTTCACCAGTAGTATCAAGATAGCAAAGCAATTAAGAACAAAACCATAAGATTTGGAGAAATGCACTTCTTAAATCCTGTTATTCTGAGTAATTTAACCATAACTGGCCAGCAAATGGATGGATAGCAATTAAGCAGATATTTAGAAGAAAGAGCACAGCCTTCTCTTCATCTATCTCACTTTAATGTCTCTGTAGCCTCTGTCAAGGTCTGAAGTCCTCAGTTCTCTGGGTCTACAATTCTAGATACAATACTTAGACTTCATATAAATTCTATGGCATGTACATGAAATTGACTCCATTTCAAACAGAGCTTGAAAGGAAGGAAGTTTGTACAGGAAGGAAGTAGAACAAAATATACTCTGAGATTTAAAAAGATAGCATTTGTTCTGGGCCTGATAGTGCCAATATTTGAAGCAGGCAGCTAGTGAGGGTTAGACTTGGAAAACACGCTGGTCTCTATCTCCTGTCTTCTCTGTGTGAGGGTCTGTGAAGAGTCTGGTATCTCACCCCACTAGAGGTAATAAATTAATCTGACTCATTCCTGGTTGCTAACATTCGACGTAATGTTCCTGCATCATGTCACACATCCTGTTAGCATGGGGAATACAGCATGTTAGTTCTTCTCCATCTACAAGAGGGGCTTCTTCCACAGGTAAGTGCCGCACTTGCCTCATCCTTCATGTATGTTATCCACTCTGCTGCATTAAACTACTAACTGTCCTTTATACAGTTTCGAACATTGCCTCCAGTGCTCTGTCCCCGTAACCCTTCCCTCTGACTGTTGATTAAGTAGCAGATGGAATAATATACATCCTTACAACATGAATCAGGGAGCAGGGTGTCCTGGTACTTCCATCTCCTCTCCGCAGGCAAATAGGTCTTTGAAATTCTCATATATTGAGGACCTTTGTCATGATGGTATTGATTCTCTAACACAAGTTATCTGTGTATTTTTTCGAAATTATTATCATTAAAAAAATCAATTAAAAAAGTGAAAGTTCAGTGTATTGATCATCTAGCACAGAGATACAACAGTACCATTTTTCTGTATCAGTCTATATGTAAATTTTAAATGGTTCATCACGAAATTTAGACCTGAAATACTTCAACATATAACCCCTATGAACAAAGGAACTCTCAATTTAAATATATCAAATCTTTAAATTAAAAACGTCTCTAAGATGATCTAACATCGGTCCACATCCAAGTTCCCACAAGTCTCTTTTCTGTTTGTCTTTTGTTTTTGTGTTTTCTGTAGAGACACAATGCAATGCTTTGGAGTTAATATTTGTATTTTAAAATTTATAAGAGCTAGGAATATAGCTCAGTTTGAAGCACCTGAGTTCAATCTTCAGTAGCAAAGGGGGAAAAAAGTGAAAAGACAATTATCATATATAATATGCCACTTTTGGGGTTGATTTTTTCCTTTTCATGCTGATGTTTAACTGGCTCCTCGATCCCCGTACTCTGAAAACATATTGAAGTATGACTAGGTTCCAATTACAGCTTTGTCAAAATGGTTTCAAATTTTTAATACCTAGCCAGAAGCACAAATTCAAAGGTTGATATTTTTACATAATAGTGCCAAATAAATTGATTTAGCTAACAGAACGGCCCACTCCCCACTGCAAAGATACATATGACCCGTGAGCCAGATGTGGTGGTGCACACTTATAATCTCAGCACTCAGGAGACTGAGACAGGAGTATCCATGCCAGTTCCAGCCCAGGGTAGAGTTCAAGGTCAACCTGAACACAGTGAGATGCTGTCTCAAAAAGGAAAAAAATACACTTGAGCTTTTGTAATACCAATGTGTAGAAATATTTTAGAAAGGTTTTACCGTCTCAAGATTCATTGACAATATTTGCTCTAATCTGTATTACAGTGAACACGTTAGAATGGTGCTAACAGTCTCAATCACCTCTTACTAAATCTATCATCTTTTACTAAAAATTACCTTAGTAAAAATGGCTCCCCATAGAACAAAGCTGTAAAAAAATTGTTGGGGAGGTAACCTTAACATTAAGTTAGAGGAAAATGTCTTTCAACAAGATCAACGGTGGTCTTAAAAGTGGTAGTGCGGCTGTTCAAGTATTGGTGCTAACTTCAGCAGCCCATTTGATTTCTAACCCATGAACCCATACACCCATACACCCATACACCCATACTTCCTTCGCACCACCTATGACACTTTACACCCAAAAAAGATCAAAATAGCAGTAACAGCTTTAGGAATATTTTCAACACCCATCACGCCGCATTACTGGACAGTGAGTCTACATTAAGAGCACAGAACAGAACTCTGAATCTTCATTAAGTGCTTTGGCTCCTTAGAAGAAAAGGGAGGTGGCCCTGAAAAGGACCTTTAGCTCATGTTTGTCTACAAGGGAAAATTTAGCCTCCGAAGCCGTAGAGCGTGCGTCCCTGGCGCTTGAGCGCGTAGACTACGTCCATGGCCGTGACCGTCTTGCGCTTAGCGTGCTCCGTGTAGGTGACGGCGTCACGGATCACGTTCTCCAGGAAGACCTTCAGCACCCCGCGCGTCTCCTCATAGATGAGGCCAGAGATGCGCTTGACACCGCCGCGGCGGGCCAGGCGGCGGATGGCGGGCTTGGTGATGCCTTGGATGTTGTCGCGCAGCACCTTGCGGTGGCGCTTGGCGCCGCCTTTACCAAGGCCCTTACCTCCCTTACCACGTCCAGACATCGAAAGATACTAAATATTATATAGAAAAACCAAAGCGCTCCTCTCAAGTCTCTGGTACCTGTAGACTGTATGAGATTTTAAAACAAAGTATCGGACCTATTTGAAAACTGCAAGCAAAAAAAGGCGGGAAAGCTTAATCGGTCCCCGCCCCACTATTGACACAGGGCAAGGCCTAAAAGAGTGTGATAGGGAGATTGTTTTGGTTTTTAAAGACTCCGAACGAAAGTAACAGTATATACAGAGAAAAGTATCCTGATGATGAAATGGTTAGTTTTACTCATTCCATATGTGTACCTGGGTTATTTGTAATATTTGGCTTGCCCAAATGCCAAAAAAAAGGTAAGTTTGTCATTTTCAAGCAACACAGCTGTGCAAAAACCAGGCTTTCAGCTTGGAATGAGCAGCTGGTTTTAAACTTGGAAGTTTGATGACCTGTATTTAAATGAATGTAACTGGTGAGCAAAATGGCACCAGGTTCTCAGTTCATTTTAGCCATTCTGTTATGTACAAGACATAAAGCACAGACGAGAATGCGGACGTTTCTAAAGGCGCCTATACAATTTGTCGATTTACCCCAGGCAACTGTAGGTCAGGTTTTGAATGTGTACTGTACACTGCTTGTGGCCATCAGATCAAATCGTACAAGGGACGCTTCTGCACAAAACAAGTGAGTTGGACAGTCAAGCTACCGAAAACGTGAGCACGCTGAATGGACACCTTAATTTTAACAAAAAACTAAAGGCTCGAGTAAAACAGCTTTAAGGATAGATTAATATTCTTTTGGATTACCTCGCATACAAGCCAAGAGGCATTGTTCAGAGCCCGCTCAGACGATAGTAAACCTGGTCACAACCGTCTGAGCCAGCCAAGCGTGCTCTATAAGCTATGGTACGAAATTCAGGGAGGCCAATGCAGTAGCTGCACCCCGTCAGCAATGAAAACTGGCTCGAAGAAAAAGATGACATGGCAAACCAGCGCTTTTCAGTGAAATTGTAGGTGGCTCTGAAAAGAGCCTTTGGGTTTACAGATATCAGACACACTACAAGTTTATGCCCTTTCACCACGGATGCGACGCGCCAGCTGGATGTCCTTGGGCATGATGGTGACCCGCTTGGCGTGGATGGCGCACAGGTTGGTATCCTCGAACAACCCCACCAAGTACGCCTCGGATGCCTCCTGCAGCGCCATGACGGCAGAGCTCTGGAAGCGCAGGTCGGTCTTGAAGTCCTGCGCGATCTCGCGAACCAGGCGCTGGAACGGCAGCTTGCGGATCAACAGCTCGGTGGACTTCTGGTAGCGGCGGATCTCACGCAGCGCCACAGTGCCGGGCCGGTAGCGGTGCGGCTTCTTCACGCCCCCAGTGGCCGGCGCGCTCTTGCGGGCAGCCTTGGTGGCTAGCTGCTTGCGTGGGGCCTTGCCGCCTGTGGACTTGCGAGCAGTTTGCTTGGTCCGAGCCATCCTAAAACAGGGAAATAAGTACAGTTTTTTCCTCCTTTTTATAGTGACAAAGTTCTACTGATTGGTCAGAGCTCTAAACTCCGCGACAGGAATTGAAAACTAACATGAGCCCTGCGATTGGCTACCAGGTCACAAATTGAAAATTTCGACCTATCGCAGCGTTCTTGGATGTATCCTGTTTTCCAGTTCCGGTCTTCCCTATACATAGTACAGCTACCAATATCTCAGTCCAAATATTTAAAGATAAATGGAAAGAGATGGAAATGAACATTCTTAACCATCTGGGAAGTTCCAGAAAATCTGTTTTTGGACATCATTCCTCCAGATCAGTGATGTTCTTTATTTTCCTTACAATTTCTTAGATTGAAGGAATGCCTTATCCAGCAATAGTACCAGGGTTTTCACAGACTAAAACTTTCCTACAACCACTGGCATCACTTCCGGGCACTTTTAATACAGAACATTAGTCTCACCCCTGTTAAGATGTGAAAATTCTGTGATTCCCAAAAAAAGCTTTAAGGTTGCTGCCCACACTGATCAGCCTTTTAAGAATTTATTCCTACTACCTAATAATGGAAAAACTAACTTTAGTTTGTAGTTTTAAAAGGAGCTTACAGATGGGACTGGGATTTAGCTCAGTGGTTCCGCCGCCTGCCTCGCAAAGGCAAGAGCCCGAGTTCGATCCCTGGCACCGAAAAAAAAGTAGTCCACAGGTAATTTCACCAGAAAAAATTTGGCATGAAACAGCCATAAATTTACATCTAGATTTTTTTCATTGAGATAAGAATCTATGGAGAGAAAAAAGTGCATACGAAGTACAACATAATACTTTAAACTTCTGAAATAAGTACTGATAATTTTTTTTCTAACGATGTACAAAAGAATTGTGTGGTTTCCAAGTAAACAGCCAATCAAAAAGTAGTTTGAAATTCCCCTTATTTGCATGAGTGCCTTCTATTGGCTACTCTGGTCCAATCATGGTTGCAGGAACATTACACCCTATTTGCATAGAACCCTTACAAAAGTCAGGCCTGAGCCGTGCTACTATCTATTCTACTTTTTTCTTTTCTATCAGCTATGCCTGAACCAGCGAAGTCGGCCCCTGCTCCTAAGAAGGGTTCCAAGAAGGCGGTGACTAAGGCCCAGAAGAAGGATGGCAAGAAGCGCAAGCGCAGCCGCAAGGAGAGCTACTCCGTTTACGTGTACAAGGTGCTCAAGCAGGTCCACCCCGACACCGGCATCTCGTCCAAGGCCATGGGCATCATGAACTCCTTCGTCAACGACATCTTCGAGCGCATCGCCGGCGAGGCGTCGCGCCTGGCGCATTACAACAAGCGCTCGACCATCACGTCGCGGGAGATCCAGACGGCCGTGCGGCTGCTGCTGCCAGGTGAGCTGGCCAAGCACGCCGTATCCGAGGGCACCAAGGCCGTCACCAAGTACACCAGCTCCAAGTGAGCGCACCCGCCGCTCCCTGCAACCCAAAGGCTCTTTTCAGAGCCACCCACAATTTCAAGTAAGAGCTTTAATGCCAAGTGTTACTATGGCTTTGATAGGTAGATAACCAGACTTGAGAAGCAAAGGGCGGTTTCAAAATGGCATGCTTTCCCAATTAAGCATTTATAGTCAGAACTGGTGTGATCCTACGTATCGCAATGAAACTTAAAGGTTTTACTATGTTCATTCCTTTGCATATTAAAGTCATCTGATTTTCCTATCGCTACAGGGTACACTGCATTCATTCCTGGATGCCATGTCCTATGCTCAAAATGGGAAGGGTGCACTCTTTAAAAACCTGTTTGGCTGAAACCTGATTTATATTCTTGGGTGATAAGGCACCTGACAACACCCAGCACCTAAAAGCAAGACGTTTTTGAGATACTGATATTGCAAAGTTACCCCCTAATAAATGTCAATAAATATAACCACCGTAGTTTCTTGGAGTGGCTTAGTGTGCATGAAGTTCGCAGCAAACTCACATTTGGGGGAAATGCCTTTGTAGCACTCCCTGACTGTCTTCTCACTTGAAGATGTAATGAGAAAATTCTACCTATACTTGAACCCAGCCTGTGGCCTGTGTCTTCACTGAATTCTTTTCATCGAGCACAAAGAGCTGAGGATCAAGAAGGTGAAGATCCGCACATCCAATTAAAAGAGTGCTGCACAGCAGAGGAAACCATCTACAGAATGAGAAAAAAAAATTGCCAGCTACTCAAACCACTAATAACTAGAATATATACATAACTCAAGTAGACCCACTCCGAATTTAAAGACCCAACCAAAAAAAACAAGTATCCAAAATGAATAGACACTTGTCAGAGAAAGTACATGTGGCCAATAAATGTGTGAAAAAATGTTCAGGGTCGCTGCCCATTTCAGAAGTGCAAATTAACACAGACTCCATCTCACTCCAGAAAGAATGACTATCTTCAAGAAATCAACCAGTAACAAAAGCTGGAGAGGCTGCAGGGGAGTATGGAAGGAATCCTACACTGTTGGTGAAAGTGTAAGCTGGTAAAAACCACCATGAAAGTCAGTATGGAGACTCCTCGAAAAATGAAACTCGAAATTCCATTTGATCCAGCTATTCTTCTTGTAGGTATCCTCCCGAACGAGTTGTTTGTTTTAATACCATAATGATGTATCCAGACCATATTTATAGCAGCACAGTTTATAATAGGTAAATCTTGGAAGCAGCCTGTATGTCCATGAACAGATGAATGAATAAATAAAATGTGGTATATATATATATATACACACACACACAGACACACACACACACACACACACACAATCGAGCACTACTCCACCATAAAGAAGAATATAGGAGTCATTTGTAGGAAAATGAAAATTGATGCACCTTGAAAACATAATGTTAAGTAAAGTAAATCAGACACACAAACTTAAATATTGCATGTCTTTTACATGAGAAACTCCATATATGCATACATAAAGTGCAAAATAAATGACAGGAGAAGAAAACAGAGAAACAAGTTACCGTAATCCAGCCTGTACGATGTATCTAAAAGTGAACTTTCATTTAGTATAATTCTTTTATATGTTTTATATGGTTTTTGGCCTGTTAGTCTGGCTGTTAATTTGCATGTACAACAATTAACTTTACTAGGATTTATAAGATAATTATGTGAATCTAATGAGGGGGGAAGAAAGAAAAAGAATTGAGATGTGTTAGGTACACATACCAATTCCCCACCATGAGTGTAACTATTATGCACTGCAATAATGTACTGATAAAAAAATTACTTTAAATTTTTAAAGGGAGAATCCAGTTCTTTCCTGCATCAAGGAGCTGGCCTCCCATTAATGGTTCATCTAAAAATATATATTATATTGGAGTTAAAATGTTCGCATCCATTTCTGCAATCCTGTAATGGTCCTTTCGTGTGAACAGCTTCTTGGTTTAACACAGCAGAGGCCTGAATTGTAGGTTGACTCAATGTACCAGCATTTTCACTTAGTTCTGAAACTGGCTGTTTAGAGTTCTCAGAATAGACTGAAAATATATAGGCCATCCTAAACACCATAATGACTTCACATGAGTCTTATTAAAAAAAATTATGGTGGAAGATGGTACATAACCTAATGAGAATTTGTTTCCTGGTAGACAGATGGGATTGGGAAAATGTTATAGGAAGGTAGATAAATCTATCATAGTAAATGGAACCCTTCATCTGAAAAAGTATATATGTATATATATCGTCAGGGGCATCTTTGAGAAAGGCTAGATAGTATTTGTAACTAAGAAAGAAATCCAATAAACGTGGGTAATGTTGGTAATCTTATCCTTGCATCCAGCTAACAGGCCAAGACAATTATCTTGAGCAGCCTGATAGTCACATGGGGAAAAAAATGAAGCTCCCCTCAGGGGTTCAAGGGGGAGCAGGAGAGGTGAGTGGAGAATATTCTAAAATCTGAGATATGAGATGTGCCCAAGACTCCTCCCCACATGAAGAGTTGGGTGAATGGACTAGGGCTCTTGAGTGTAATCATTTTTGTTTAATAGATAAAGGTCCCTGACAGGGGAGGGATTTAGTTCAGTGGCACCTTGCCTGCCTCGAAAGTGCAAGGTCCTGAGTTCGATCTCCTGTACCAAAAAAAAAAGAGAGAGAGAGAGAAAGGGCCCTGAGAAGGATTAAAAACTATCTTGTTCCCTAAGCAGGCCCATTTTGCCCTCAGCACAGTAGGCAGCCAATCAACGAAATGAGTTTCGCAAAAGCAAAAGGTTATTTACAAAGGAACCCAGCCTGAAGGTATGACAGCCAGTGCTCAAATCCACCTATTCCATTCCAAGGATAGGGTTTGGAGGTATGTATGGAATACAGAAGGATAGGATGGTCTGAAAAGTGCAAAAAAATGATTGGAGGTAAAGTAATCAGTGATTCGTGTCTAAGTAGTGAAACTCATGGTTGTGCATGGGATGCATGTTCAGACAGTGGCTTTGTTACCATCATCTGAGGTGGAGTTTTCAGCCACTTGATGTGCAAAGATTGCCCTCCAGTCCCTTGTGCAGGTCCTGGGAAAATTGGTGGCTTCAACAAAAATGGCCCTCAAATCCGTAAAAAGTAACTAAACCAATCACTATCATCATAACCCATATGTCAAAAGTGTCATCTATAACAAAGCCAGAGGAAGACTACTATATTGCTTGACTGTGTGACCTAGAGAATTGGTGATTTTTTTAAAGCCAACTAAAAGCAAGTGACTGAAGAGGAAACAGAGAGCCAACAAGTAAAAGGTACAAAGGGTTGATTAGTGTACAGGACACTAGGCCAGCTTGTGTTTGTTGGCTGCTAATTATCAAAATTAGATTATGTCCTCCTGTGGAGTCTTGGAGACAGATCTTATTCTTTTTATGGTTCAGTTTTAAGAAGGCTGTCAGATCCTTGAGAGATGCTGTTGAGCTGCAAAAGCTGCATGTTTACACTTCTAAGACTTATCTTTTTTTTTTCCTTTGGTACCAGGAATCAAACTTGGGTCCTTACGCTTGCTAGGCAGGCCACGGAACCACTGAGCTAAATCCCCAGCCAACAATTATAGGACTTAATAAATGACCAGAAGATGATTGTGGCCAACTGAGCAAGGGCTCAGTTGTTGTTGGTTTGTTGGTTTGGTTTTTTTTTTGGTACCAGGGATCAAACTCAGGATCTTGCACTTTTGAGGCAGGCACAGCGCCACTGAGCTAAATTCCCAGCCCCAAGGCTCATTTTTGATCGTAGTCTTTACAACTATTGCAGTCTAAAATGGATATTTAAATAATAATCTTAGCTAACTGAAAGGGGAAGGATCAGTGTGAAAGTCTTTTTTTTTAAGTCATTTTATTAAAAATTGTTGTGGCACTGAGATTGAACCCAAGGCCTTCACACTGAGTTACATTGCTGGCCTTCCCCTCCCCTCCCCTCCCCCACAATCAGTTGGAATTTGCAGTCCTCCTGCCTCAGCCTCCCAGAGTCCAGGGATTATAGACATGTGCTACCATACCTACCTTCAACTGGCTTTTGATGGGGCTCAATTTAAATCACCAAAAACTGAAATGGAAATCTTGAAAATTTTCAAATCCCATGGAAGCAATTCTGCAAGGAGAATAGAGCAAGAGAGGTGAAAAGGGAAGAGAAGCAAGCAAGACAGATTTGGAGATGCAAATGACTTATCCCGCTTAGGGGAGGAGAGCCAGCAAGCTAGCACTGGCAAAGTTCAAATCTGTAAGAACAGACTGTAGTTAAGAACAGGGGTCCCCAGGTATGGTGGCCCAGGCCTATAACCCCAGCTGTGGCAAGAGGGTCACAAATTTCAGCTCACCCTGGATAATGAAGGAAGACTGTCTCAAACTAAATTTTAGAAAAGGCTGGGGATGCAGCTCAGCTCAAAGGCCCTGGGTTCAATCCTTAGTACCGAAAAAGAAAGGGAAGAAGGGATATTTATATTCTTATAGCCATGTCTCATCACTGATTAGAAACAAAAATTTCATAAAAATGCTAATTTGGTGCCTTAGTAACATGTAGAAAATAATACTATAATGATAGCTAATATTATCCTTCCTTCATTTTTTAATAAGATAAAGTTGTTTTCTTAATGTGTACCTGTATGCATTATTATCAAGATCCCTGAAATCACTACTTAAATAATCATAAAAGCACTTCTCTGTCCTGTAAAACTATGTACCTCAGCCCTGGAATGGGACGCTGATGCCCTTAGAGAATACCACTGCTATGTTCAATGTGTGATCTGCCTTTTTGTTTGAATTTTTCTCAAATATATTCTGCTATTCCATTCTGCTAGGAAGAATGAACACAAACAACAAGTGGGATGGATGAAACTCATAAGGATTTTATAGATGATTCATACAAACTAAGAAACTTAAAAGAAGTTTTAGGTAAATAAGGTGCAGATAAAAATTAAAAGCTGTATTTTGTATGAGTCATAAATTAGTGGCCTATGAGACAAGTTACAGAAAGTCAGGAAGAGCTTGCATGTGCTACACAGACACAGGAGTACATGAAAAAGCAGAATATGTGTGAGATACCAAACATTCATGAAGAAGTTCCACATTTCTGAGGTCTTCAACTAACAAATTTTGGATCCAATTTTACCTCTCCACATGACTGTTTAATGTGTCACTGGTAAATAACATCTGTGGTTTATATTTCTCCCTGCATCTCTTCAACAGGTCAAATATGTGTAGGCTCCAAATAATGTCCATCTGCCAAGCCCTTTTGCTCACTGTCAACTCCGGCTCTGAAGACTACCCTCTCTCTCATCAGAAAAATCTGTTGGGGAAGGAGGGAAGGTTCCCCATATGACAGACCTAAGCAAGGATTCAGGTTTGTAACTCTCATTGGCAACTTATCCGAAACATATTAACTTGTCAATCCTCTTCCCCTTGTTTCCTATTATGTGTTCAAAATTGATTCAATAAAAATGCGCACAGGCCGTGAAATTTGGGAACGTTACAGCAGTCTGTGAGCCTTTTGGTCCATGGTTCATGAACAGCCTGCCTGGCAGTGTATTTGGAGGTTTATTTGCATTAAGGGAATTTCTCATATGACAGTCTTACTGTGTCCCTTCCCCTTATAGGCTAAGATGCCTGCTCCAGCACCATCCTATTCACATTGCATCCTGAAGGACGGAGAAAAGGGCACGGAAAGGGACATTCCCACCATGCATGGAAACTGAAGGACCTGAGGAAATACCACCCCAAAATCAATTTGGACTTCAAACTGAGAGCATGTAGGGAAAAGAAAACACCGGAGAGGTTTCTCTGAATTTCCACAAGGATACAATTGTTATGAATCCTCACCCTTCCAAATCTCATTACTATCACCAGAGAGATAGGAGATCAAAACCAAACCCAGACAGACTTTATCACAGGTTATATCACCTGTTCTTCTGAGGGCCCATTCATCTTTCCAAAAGTAATTTACTCTCCCCTAAATAACCTATACTCCCTTCTCTCCCCTATGCAGAGGGTAGATAAACTTTTCACTGGCAAATAAGATCTCACTGGGCTTCTGAGCATAAAATTTCTTTCATGTGATGTTCCCATACACATAATAAATTTGGAGACATTTTCTCCTGTTATTTCACAGACTCATTTATTCAACCCTCAGTGGACACAAAGAACTTTCCCTTCTACAAAGCCTTGATGATGGCAAAATATAAATACACCATTGATCAAAATGGGCCAATGGCACACATAGCTGCAAAGGAATGTGGGAGATTTTATCACTGAGTAAGAAGATATAACCAGTTTTAACGTACAACTCCGTTGTAATCCCCGCCTCGGCTCATTGCCTAAAACAGTAGAAATAAAACAAAAAGAGTAGCTCTTAGAACCTAATCAATCCTGGATGTGGTGTTGCACACCTGCAATTCCAGCCCTTGGGAGCCTGATGCAGGAGGATTGCCAGCCTGGGCTAACTAGTGAATTCAAGGCCAGCCTGAACTACATAGTGAAACCTTGTCTCAAGAAAAAAAAAAAAATTTAATCAGTGACTCTTTTTACCTTCAGGATAACGTAGGCTTTCCCCCAGAATTTTGTTGAATGGATTATACACACTCACAAGAATTGCTTCAGTTGGGAAGATAAGATAATCCAACTCTAACTAGAATCAAATTCTCATTTTCAGGTGAACATTGTTAGGAGTCCAAATGTAGCTGTGTAAAGTCAAAATATGGCTGAGGAAATCAAGAAAACACCTTATTCCAGTCAGATTCACATATCAGTCTCCTCTGGAAATACTGCCACAGAAATACCCAAAAATAATGCTTTACTAGTTCTCTAGGTACTTCATAATACATTCAACTTAACATCCTAAATTAAACTTCAAAAAAAATTAAATTAACCACAGAAATAAAGCAAACTGTAGTTGTGTTTCTCAAGAACTAATCAAAGGAAGAAAAAGGAGAGAGATGGGGTGGGGGGTGTTAACCAAAGGAGAGGAAGTTGCATTTGCCTCAGCAATAGAATTTCCAACTCTAGTGCAGTGATCTTTCAAAGCTGGAAAAGACCGTAGGGATAAGACAGCTTCACGGAATACAGTACCTCTTGGACGATCAACAGGAAGAGCTCACCGAAGAAATAAAGATCTAGGGAACTGATGTTGTATCCAAAAATTAAAAATTCTCAATGATATTTGGGTAAATCCTGATGGACGCCAGACTTCTGTTCCTCCTTCCGATATGATTTACAGAAATTGAAAGTAACTGCTAGTGTAGATACCATAAGAGAAATCCCTGCATCTCAGATGAGACTGCAGTAACATCCAATATGAAGAGTTCAAAAAACAAGTGATCACTGCCAAGCCTCAGGTAGGGATCAAGATCAGCAGGTGGAAATATGTATTGCTTGCATCACTGCATGATTTTAATGTATTTAATTTTGTGTTTAGCTGTCACAATCATGCATTTGGCCATTATATTAAAACGAGTATAGGATGAGCAATTTTACCTGTACTTGGAAACTCATTCATAGATATCCCAGTGCCATACAATTTCAGTGAGCATACTTGTATGTAAAGCTTTCTAAAGAAATATCATGTTTAGACTGTCTTTCTTCTGAAAAATCAAAACAATAATGCTGATTTTGCAGAACCTCACTTCTGTTTTTTAGTTTTTTGTTTGTTTGTTTTGGTTATTGGCAATATCAGGGATTGAACCCAGGGGTTCCAGCAGATAGGAAAGCACTTTACAGCATCCCCAGGCCTTTTATTCTTTATTTTCTGAGACAGGGTGCTTAAATTGCCCAGATTAGCCTCAACTTGCAATCCTTTCCTGTCAGCCTCCTAGAGTTCGGGAATTACAGGCATGTGCCACCATGTCCAGCCAATGCTTGTAAGTCTAAATGATCGTATTATTAATATAATACTCTTATTTTAGTAATCACTGTGGTTGTATCAGGCATTCTTTCATTGGATTAAAATTCATCTCTTCCTGTCTCTGCCACTTGGTTCCCCATCTTAATTGTGTGTCCTCAAAGACCTGGAGCAATATTTGAAAAAAATGAAAATGTATAAATCACTTTTGAGTTCCCTAGAAACTCAGACTTGAAAAAACAGAGGAGGACCCTGGATTATGTAGTTGGTTATAAGAACTGTGGCCCACACCTCAGGTATGCCAGATCTGTGTGGTGTTTCTTCTCTACGGAATGCTCTTCCTTTAGATTTATAAACACTGCACTCCTTCCAGGCCTAATGTCCTTCACTCCATCTCATCTTCACTGTGAAGCCTTTTCCACCTCACCATTTAATAATACAATCTGTATGCCTACTGGCTGGCAGTCCTCTATGTCCTTATCTTCTTTATGTTTTTCATCTAAGAGTCTATTGTATTTTTTGATTCTTGTCTATCATCTGTCTCCCAAAAGATTGTGAATAAACTCCACACAAAGGGAACTTTACCTATTATTCACAGCTGTATCTGCAGCACCCAAACAATGCTGGGCACATGGTGAGCACTCAAAACATTTCCACCAAGTGACAGTGAAGCTCATTCTACAGTAAGTGCTTAGAATGTGCAAGGCCCTGGGTCCTATCCGCAATACCAGAGAAAATGTTTGTTGAAAAGATGGATGGATGAAAATAAATGCATGCATGTAATATACATGGTTGTAGCTATAGTAATAGTCTATGACTTAATTCTCTAAATAAACCCTCTTGAGAGGCCGTCCACCTCACCATCTTCTGTTTCTCCATCCTCATAGTGGGTCTAATATAGTAATGATTTCTAGCCCCTGGAGATACTGTGTGGATTACATAAAGTAAACCATATGAAACTCTCTGATAGACAATAAATTACAGACTTTTATTTGAGAAAAGGTCTTGCTATGTAGTCCAGACTGTCCTTGAACTCACTGTGGAGCCCAGGTTGGCCTCAAACTCATGGTAAATCTCCTGCCTCAGCCTCCTGAGTGCTGGGATTATAGGCATGCACCACTATGCCCTGCTTAAATTACAGATTTTTGAACTAATGAAATCATAAATCCTCACCACTTGGACAGTTCACAAAGAAAGTGTTGTGAATTTCTCTTTTGGGCAAATTACTTAATGAACAGTGAAACAGCTATAGAAGCTTACAAGTGATAGTTAGGGACCTTAAATTCAGCCAGGTCTTTTATAGCCTGACCCAGTGAGATAAAGGTGGGTAGCTCACGGTTATCCCTGCACAGTGAACCCTTTCCTACTCCCCAAAGACATTTAACTTGGCATTCCATACAAATCCAGTGTGCTACCCAATGAGGAAAACAATTTTCCAGTGGCTATAAAGCTAGTCAATGGAAACAACACTAAAGTGAATCAAACTCAACCCAAAACAAACTTTTATAGGCTTTGCCTTTTCTCCTTATTTTAGGGAAGGAAAAATAATCCTTTCCTCAAGCATCGTAAATTTTTAGCTGGAACAGACCGTAAAACAGAAGTTTATTAACTTGTATATATATCTCATATATACAGTGAGAGAAACCTGGGAAATGATGAGTTATCAAAGAAGCGGTTTTTGAATTCTGGCTTATATGAGCACCATCAAATAGAAAGAGAAAATGGTTTAAAGAAATGTTTTCAGTGATTACCTTTGTTCTACTGCTAGAAGACAGGCAGCTAAAGCTATGCTGTGCTTTTAGAAAAACGGAGAATGAACCATTTTCCTGCATCAGCACCTTCTTAATTTCCTTCAAATAACAATTGGTGTGCCAATGGGACATATTTGAGGGTAGCATACTCTAGTCTCCCACCCTATGAAAAGCTCCAGGTTAGTTTCTGTTTTCAAGATTTGAATAGCAGAAAAAAAAGAAAACTGGGCCCTAATTTATATACTGGAGCACAATCAAGACTAAAAATAAAGCAGAAGCTGCATAATTGTGAGACAAGAAGATGCCTGTGTTCAACTCCTCTCAGGGCCTTGTTTCTCATCTAGAGCAAAAGCCAAACTTCTTACAGTGACCTGTAAAGAAAACCCTGAATAGGTAACCCCAAAATAAGAAAGACTATAAAGCTAAAGACAATTAAGAGCCGGGCATTTAGCTCAGTGGTTCCACCGCCTGCTTCAAAAGCTCAAGGACCCGAGTTCAATCCCTGGTACCAAAAAAATAAAGACAATTAAGAAGCACATACAAGAAATCTCTGTGCCCTCTGCCTCAAAGCAGGACAAAAATTTACAAACAAGGAATCCCTCCACCCCTACCCCCTCCAGCCCTTCTCCCAGGGAGAACAAAGGTTAACTGCTAAAGACAGCACTCACCCTAGGGAGCATGGAGGTGAACCAGAATAAGGAACATTCATAAACTTTATTAACTACCTTTTATGTTATTGCCTGGTTATTGCCTTTCCCCCAAGATATGGCACACAAAGTCCTATTCTTTTGTCCCAGCACGTTATATATTTACTGTCCTTTGTTGAAGGCGCTGTATGAGCCAGGATGCAAAGCCACCTCTATGATTTACAAATTATCTGAGTGTCTTCCAAGTATATGTGAAATGTACATATTAGTGAACTTGTTTCTCCTGGCAATCTGATTGTTTCAACTGAGAACCTAATGTTGGGGGTGGGAGGGTGGAAGGGTAAATTCTTCTCCCCCAAAACCTGTCAGATGGCAGGCTCAGGCCTAGTGAGTTTTTCCACCTTCATCTCCTGCTGTATCCTTTCCATTCCACCTAGCCCACTCTCCTACCTCAACACTTCCCTCTTCTTCCTGAGGCCACCCCCACAGCCGTCTTCTTCACATCTTTCAGGCCTTTGCTGAAATACTCTTTGTGAGGTCTTCATTGTGACCATATATATCTAAATTTCAACTCCAAATTTTACTCCACATTCTTGTCTTTTTTCTTATCATCTGATATTACACACAATGTTATTTATATAGTTTAATTTCTGCCTATCACAGAGCCAATGCAAACTCTCTGAGAACAGGAATTTTGTTTTGTTCTCTGGACACAATGCACAGACATTGTAAAATTTCAACAAATACATTAGGAACAAGTAAGTTTAAAGGGCATCCATGTTAAATTGCCATAATGATGTCATTGCAATTAGATTCTTACATAGCAGATGCAAGCTGGGTGTGGTGGTGTACCGCTGTAATCCCTGCACTCTTGAGAAGCTGAAACAAGATTGCTCAGTTTTGAGGTTTGCCTGGGCACCTTAGCAAGTTAGCAAGACCTTGTCTCAAAAAATAAAAGAAAGGAGGCCAGGGATTAAGCTCAGTGGTTCCGCACCTGCCTCCCAAGTGCAAGGTCCCGAATTTGATCGCCAGTACCAAAAAAATAAAAGAAAGAGCTAGGGATGTAGATCAGTACAAAGGCCCTAAATTCAATCCCCAGTACCTCAAAACAAATTTAAGTAATTGGCCGGTGCTGATGATATTGAAAGTGGATGAGATGTACATCAGCTTTATTAAACTGACTTCACATAATAAAGGTTGTGAAACACTTTTACTGAAATAGCACATACTAAAAGTATTTAAAAATGAAAATATGGGTTGGGGATTTAGCTCAGTGGTGCCGCTGCCTGCCTCCCAACCACAAGGACCCAAATTCGATCCCTGGTAACAAAAAAAAATGAAAATATCTGGGTTTCAGCAAGACTGTTGCTGCTGTTGCTTCTGCTCTATCTCCTTTTCTCCTCCTCTTCCTCCTCCACCTCATCCTCTTCCTTCTGGTCTCCATAAATGAGCTGTCTTTTCAGTTAAAAAAAAAATCTGAAAGTGACAAGTTAGTAAATAAACAAAAGCCATGACAGCACACCAGCTGATACTCAAACAGGACTCTGTGCTAATTGTGTAGAGGAAAGCCCCAATGTATAAAGACAGAAAGGCATTTTGGAAGTTTGACAAAAAGCCTAGAATGGTGTCTGCCCCTCCTGGTAGCACCCGCCCCCCCAAACCTTGTGCAGCCATTCACTGAATGCAGCTGTGTCTCAGCGTAGACTCATATTAATTAGCCTTTCACTCAAAAATAGCTCTACTACCTGGGAGGCAGATGCAGGACTGCCAAGTTCGTGCCCACCTGAACAAGTTAGTGATTTAGGGTGACTCTGCCTCCATAAATAAGGGTTGAGAATGTAAATCATAGCAAAGACCTTGGGTTCAATCCCCAGGTGAGGTGGGGGTGGGGGTGGGGAGAGGCACTGTTGTGAATCCTGGGTGACCATTACAGTGACTCCCTGTACTGAGTTAACACAGTTGTCAAGCAGGCCAAAAGGTCTTTTTTGCAGAATATTTCTCTCTCAATGCAAATTACAGAAAAGCGTGTTTCAAAACAGAAGCTGGTCATGGGACTGGAAATGATTTAATGATGTCTCAATCCCAGCTAACCAGTTTAGATATTAATTGTAACTGGGTAGATCTGAATTTCATGCATCTCCTCACAGACTCGTTACAGTAGTTAGAAATGGGTCCCAAGGTCTTTTATAAAAACTCCAAATGATTGTAACTGAGACCAAATTATACAGAAATCTCATGAGGTCCCTGTTATGTACAGAGAATAGTGCTTTCTGTCATGAATAAAGTTGGTAAAAGGTCATTAATCACGAGTTGACTATGCCTACAAACACTAAAATTAGGCCTCAAGCTAGTTTTCCTAAGAATTACTTTTTGGTATTGTATGTAGTACCAGATTTGGTACAATACAGATTCTTTACCCTAGATGGGGTACCAAACTAATTCCTATAATGTGACTGGATTCTCACACTTCTAGTAGGTGGAAAACATTGAATCGCATTGTGTACATCCCATCTGAGCACTGCTTTGTTCTGCTACAAATGAACTCAGAAATCCTGATGGGGGGGGGATTAATTATTGATTCAAGTTAATTTTGATACTAGCAGGTCCCCGGTCCGGAGACCTTCCCATTTTTTCTCATACCTACCTCTTCTTCCATTACTTCTAATGGTTTTGTATTACAAATGTAATAATTGGGAAAAATGTAATAATTGTGTAATGTAATACTTGCAGTTCTGTATTCCACTACTTGTAATAGAACAAAAACTAGCACAACACACCGGCAAGGCAAACCCTGAATCACTTTGATCCTTACATAGGGTTTAACTGAGCAAATAAAGTTCCGGACACTAAGGTCATCCAGCAGTATGCTTCTTAACTACCAGTGGCCAAACAAATTTTTGAAGGGCTGTCCTAGTACGTACCCATAGCTGAATGCTGTTTTTCTTCCACTGAAGAACCGTGCTACAGGATCAGCCTCCCAACGTAATAGAGGTACAGCTCATAAAGGGGTAACCAACTTCTCCAAGACTGAAACAAAACACCCACCTATGTAAATTAAAGATTAAGTTAGTTACAGCTGTTTCTGCATAGTAGGTGGCTCTTAAAAGAGCCTTTTGATGTGTTTGAAAGTTTTAAGCCCTCTCTCCACGAATGCGGCGCGCGAGCTGGATGTCCTTGGGCATGATAGTGACCCGCTTGGCGTGGATGGCGCACAGGTTGGTGTCCTCGAACAGCCCCACCAGGTAGGCCTCACAGGCTTCCTGCAGCGCCATGACAGCCGAGCTCTGGAAGCGCAGGTCAGTCTTGAAGTCCTGCGCGATCTCGCGAACCAGACGCTGGAACGGCAGCTTGCGAATCAACAGCTCGGTAGACTTCTGGTAGCGGCGGATCTCGCGCAGCGCCACGGTGCCGGGCCGGTAGCGGTGCGGCTTTTTCACGCCGCCGGTGGCCGGCGCGCTCTTGCGGGCAGCCTTGGTAGCGAGCTGCTTGCGTGGAGCCTTGCCACCTGTGGACTTCCGGGCGGTTTGCTTCGTACGGGCCATTACCCAAGCAGGAAAAGACAAACTAAAACAGAACGAGTTCCTTAGCTGCTTGCCTTTATATATACTCAGGAACATTCTGATTGGTCTTGACGGTTTTCAAAAGTCCCGCGCACTAAAACTATTGGTTGAAATTCAGCGAAGTGATTGGCGGATAATTGAAGACTCTGATTGGATGAGTTAGTTCACTTTCTAATCCGGTACTCTGTTAGCATGACCCCCAAGGAATTCCGTTCCTAAACCTAATTGCACGCTTCTCAAACTCTAATATCCACAAAGCACCACTTGAATGTCTTATAAAATGTTCTGATTTAGCAAATATGTGGTGGGGCTGGTAAGACCACACTTTAAGAATCCATAATTTGAACCCACAAACATGTAGATTGTCCTTTCCTAGTCTGGACTTTGTATGACTGCGCTAAATTAAACGACATCCGAACATTCGCTTAGAGAAAATTTTTACTTCGGCTCAGGATTTGAAAACCCCAGACTGTCTCGACTTCCCAATGACCGCATTTAAATGATGTCCAGGGTCACTACACCTACCATCTTCTGCGACGTCTTCCGAAAACTACTCGCCTTATTTTGGATTTCCCTTTTCTGGGGACTTTTCTGAAACTGCTTTTCTGAAACTCCAAACTTTTCTGAAACCTGCTTCCTAGCAGATGGTAAACATCGCAACATTAAAGTGTCCCGTATAGGAAGTTCATATTTCTGGATAACATTCAACGGTAATGTCACAAGACACTCTGGTCAGTTTACCCATTGAGTGAACTGCATGGGGTTCTTGTAGGGTAAAACTTTCAAGTTGGCCGAACATTTGAAACCAATAGATTTCAACCCGGTTTCTGCTACGTGCTCTTTTATTTGAAAATGTGGATGGCTCTGAAAAGAGCCTTTGGGTTTGAGAGGAGGTCGCCACACGTTCCGATATTTAACTACTTTACTTTCCCTTGGCCTTGTGGTGGCTCTCGGTCTTCTTGGGCAGCAGCACGGCCTGGATGTTGGGCAGCACGCCACCCTGAGCGATCGTCACCTTGCCCAGCAGCTTGTTGAGTTCCTCGTCGTTGCGGATGGCCAGCTGCAGGTGGCGCGGGATGATGCGCGTCTTCTTGTTATCGCGCGCCGCGTTGCCCGCCAGCTCCAGAATTTCGGCCGTCAGGTACTCGAGTACGGCCGCCAGGTACACCGGGGCGCCGGCGCCCACGCGCTCGGCGTAGTTACCCTTGCGGAGCAGGCGGTGCACGCGGCCCACCGGGAACTGCAGCCCGGCGCGGGAGGAGCGCGTCTTAGCCTTGGCGCGAGCCTTACCGCCCTGCTTGCCGCGTCCAGACATCACTAAAAAGTTAACAAGGGTAACCACCAGTACGTGTAAATGTATATAAAGGTTTCTTATACAAGTGACAAGGAATTATACTGCCAGTAGGGATTGTAAATTCCACTCTATGATTGGCTAGGGCAAACTACAGAATATAACCAATTGCAAAGGAGGCTTGCAAATCACCTAATTTGCATGTGACGTGGCGGTCTAGGAAATCTACCCAATCAGAGCCTAAGTTTTGAAACGCCACGTTTGCATACAAGCCCTACAAATATTAACATCGTTGCAGTTGGAGACTGCCATTTGTCTTGGAGCTGGATTCTTGAATTGTGTCTATCATGCCTGAGCCGGCGAAATCGGCCCCTGCCCCGAAGAAGGGCTCGAAGAAAGCGGTGACCAAGGCGCAGAAGAAAGACGGCAAGAAGCGCAAGCGCAGCCGCAAGGAGAGCTACTCCGTCTACGTGTACAAGGTGCTCAAGCAAGTCCACCCCGACACCGGTATCTCGTCCAAGGCCATGGGCATTATGAACTCCTTCGTCAACGACATCTTCGAGCGCATCGCGAGCGAAGCGTCGCGCCTGGCGCATTACAACAAGCGCTCGACCATCACGTCGCGGGAGATCCAGACGGCTGTGCGGCTGCTGTTGCCAGGGGAGTTGGCCAAGCACGCCGTGTCCGAGGGTACCAAGGCTGTCACCAAGTACACCAGCTCCAAGTGAGCGCACCCGCCACTCTGAAACCCAAAGGCTCTTTTCAGAGCCACCCACGTAGTCTTTTAAAGGTCTGTAACTGGAAACTTAAGCCTATGGCATCACATGATTACGTTTATTTTTTTTTCTTAATACTTTCTAACAGGGAAGCATTAAGATACTCAAGAGGTTCCATTTAGCTAAATTATCAACAGGAAAGATGACTAGTGTTTAGATAGATCCCACCTCGTACTATCCTCTTCCCTTCCCCCCACGCCGCCACTCCCTAAACTGATTGTTTTCAGTTTCACTTTTTCATTACCCCATTGTCCTTGATCAGGGAGTAACCAGGCAGAATTCTGGAGTTTTGAGTGCTTCAGTATCGAAGATTAGGTTAAGAATTCCTGAGAGAAAGCTACATTTTACATTTTGCTGATCTTAGATTATACTGGCAAGAGCTGCGTCTTAGGGATCTGATTATATAAACCACAGGTCTCTGCCACAACTTCGCCCGTAGTACCACGTTTATTCACTGATTTTTTTATCCCTCGGATTATTTGATGGTCAAAACCTGTTCTATCCATCCTAGATTTTTGCTCACATGAACACACAAGCTTTAGAGACAGATCAGGCAACATACTAGGAGGGTGGAAGGGAAGATGTAAAAATTATTGCCATGTACTACATCTATCGTGGGGAGAAGTGAGTCTCATACTGCACCTGCCCCTACCAGTTTCCACTTTCAGGCCCCAGACTCCTCCAGTTCCCCCTAACTCCTCAGTGTGCTGGACCTTGTCCATGTCTTCTTTGTTCCTTGAAATTTCACTTTAAGAGAAGAGAGTTCGGAGGCATTTAGATTTGTGGGTCATTCTTTACATTCACTGTCGATTACCCTGCAATCACTTCCTATGAAATGAAATCATGGAGGTGGGCGGTTGTTCGATTTTTTGTTGGGGGGGGCGGGGGTGAGACAGGGTCTCATTATGTAGTTCAGGCTGGCCTTGAACTCACTATGCAGCCCAAGCTGGCTTGGAATCATTTGTTTTAGGGAAAAATGACCTGAGAAATTAAAGTTAAATAACTAGTCTCTTACATAGAAATTATGAGATCTGAATCCCTTGTGTATGAATCTAAGGATGAGTTCCACACTACTTGTTAGTAACAACTCAGGCAGGAAGCTAGTTGCAATTATAGGAGAGATTTAGGTTCAGTTGAAGTAAAACATCAGGAGATATAAATATGTTGTGAAGCAAAGCCATTTATTACACCAGCAAATGTTTCTTTTAAACAACAAAAAATCAGTTTTGGAAACTCAAACTCACCTGAAAGGAAATGTAAACTGAACATCATGGGGGGGGGGGGGGCATGGACATTGGCAAAGTAAAACTGAGCTTGAAATCCTCATTTTCTGCTTATTAACTAAATGGTTGCAAATGCCGATGGAGCAAATTTCAATACTAAGTGAATACTAAGTGACCCAATTTTGTAGACACTCGTGAAGGAAATTTCGCAAGCCTCATAGTATTATTTAAATTTTCATTTCTTCATCTTCAATGCTCATCTTGAAATACATTTTTAAACAATGTATTCGTGAGAATACTGTGTTATGGTTTAAATGAGAAACCCTTCAGAACAAAATAGTCCTGCCTGAAGCCTAAATTTGGGCAATGTATTCAATTCCTCTATGAGCATTCTCTTACCTCTAAAGAGAAGATTGACTGCATGATTTTGCCGGGTTGGCCAATAAGAACACAGATAATGTAGCGCAGTGTGTGCTCAGAGGAAACCTCCCTGCCCCTCCGACAAAAACACAGTGGTTCAAGGCTCTGGCCGCCTGCCATGATAGGGCACACTCTGTCCTGCTCCCTGAAAAACCTTGAGGCCCCGGACCTTAAACAAGGCAAAATAGTCCCCTTGTCCAGCAGTAGCAACGGTATTCTTCAAAGAGCCCAACCCCTCTCCTAGACTATGGTCTTCCCCGGAAGTGTTTTTGAAGATATCCTAGTTCCTATAACTGTCATGTTTCCCCCGAAAATAGGACTTAGCCAGAACATAATCAGCTTTGAAGACTAAAGATCAAAAATCCCAGCCCCAATCAGCCGGTCCTTGCCTTACCTGCCTTCCAGAGTAGCCACTGAGCAAGACAATAGTGACGGCAAGTAAGGCAAGGAAAGGCTGATTGGGGCTGGAATTTTGATCTCTAGTATTCAAAGCTGATTGTGTTCTGGCTAGGTCTTATTCTGGCGAAGAAGGTGTTAGAACTCCCTGTCATTGCCTGCCAAATAAGCAATGTAATATTTTCGGGCAATTTTTTTCCCCAAGCCCTCACTAGAAGAACCAGGGATATCCCGCGAAATCATGTCAACAAAAATCCGCTAAGAAAAGAATTCAGATAAAAGAGAAAGTTTTAATTAGCCGTTTGCAAAGCAGGGCGCTCCGAGGGACAATGAGGGGGAAGTGACATAAAGCACCTGCACAGGTTAGCACTCGGTGCGCTATGCAAATAAGGGACGGGAACCTGCAGGAAGCCCTCGAGCCTGATTGGTTGATTGTGGAACCTGGAGCACCGGTAGATGGTTGCTAAAAAAAAAAAAAAAAAGAAAGTACAAATATAAATGTGTAAGAATAGAACTTTGGCTAAGAATATGTTCCGTCCCTAATAAAATACTATGCAGTAGTCAAAAATAACATTGTAGAAAAAATAAACAAAATATGCTTGTGGGGCAGTATGAAGGAAAAGAAAATTATCAAATAATGTATTCCCATTTGTGTCATTTTTATTCATACACATGATTTAGTCACAAGGGAAAAAAATAGATTAATGCCAAAATGTTAACACTGCTGCTATTTCTTTAAAGTTCTCCTCTGAAGAGAACCTTCTCAGACCAAGGATGTAGCTCAGTGATGCCGCACCTGCCTGACAAGCGGTTCAATTCCTAGTACTGAAAAAAAAAAAAAAAAATTGGAGAGAACCTTCTCTACTTGGCGCTCTTCAACTCTCCCAGTGACAGATGGGAAGTTCTGTCACAGTTTCCTCTCCAGATCTCCTGCCCCTACATTAAGAAAAAGAAAAGTTGGGGCTGGGGATTTAGCTCAGTGCCACCGTGTCTGCCTTGCAAGCACAAGGTCCTGAGTTCAATCCCTGGTACCGCAGGAAAAAAGAAAAGTCATTTGTTCAACTAAAAATTAACTATGTATATTGTAAAATGTCCTTGGTATACAAAAGTGAATAGAATAAATATTTGAAGATATAATTCTGTACTCAGAAAATTTCTTTGTTGTTGTTTTTGTACCGGGGATCGAACTCGGGTCCTTGTGCTTGCAGGGCAGGCAATGGAGCTACTGAGCTAAATCCCAAGCCCAGGAAAATTTTTAAGTGAAAGTATCATAACCTAAAAGGGAAAAACAGACTGAGAAGTATTTGTGAACCAACTAATCCTGTAACTCTAAGCATATGTCCTTATTTATAATCAGTCATACCCTACTGACCACGAAGAAGACCAAATAAGAAAGCTAAATAACATAGTGCAACATATTGTAAAGGACAGAAAAATAAAGAATTTTTATAGCAAGAAAGAAATACCGAATTCTAAATTGTGGTTACCTCTGGTGGGTAGCAACAGGGGCAAATTGCAGCAAAATGGTTATTGGTAATCTGTGTTATACCTGGTTGATAAGTGGGATCAAGTATGATCATCACACTATCCTTTATAACTTAGCTATGTTTATGTAGAATTAAAATTTAAGGCCAAGAAACAAGAACATACAAATATATTAATGGAAAAATGATCATCTTAACCTCAATAAACAATTAAATGTTGCTTGTTCTGAAATTTTATTACAAGAAATATCACCCTTAAGAACAGCAGTTTGCAAAATTGCTAATACACTAGACTTGCTTTTGAAAGGATCCTTCATGAAATGTTTTCCTTTTCTGCTAGAAAAAGGAAATAGTCACCTGAATTACATGCTCTTTGGACATCCTATGTCACCCTTCCTTCCTGCGGTGCTTCTCTGCAGGGCGTGTGTTGACTCTCCAATATACCTTCCAAAGAAAGGAAAAATACAGCAAGGAATGGGGGAAGTGTGGCAGTTCACTATGAGTGATCAGACAGCCTCACTGACAGGATGCCGTTTAAATACAAACCTGAGAGAGGGAGCAAGGCCTGCAGAAGTCCAGAAGAGGTGAGGCCCAGGCAGAAGGAACAGTCAGAACAGATGTGTATCAGAACAGAGACCCTGGGTGAGGGAAGGTCCCAGGAGTTGGTGAAGCTAGGTTTGGAAGGAGAGGAAAAGTACTGGGATTTGAGGCCTAATAGCTAACAAAGACCTAAAAGCAAGGCCTTCTGGGCCACGGAAAACACTCCGTCTTTCACCTGGAGTGCAATGAGCATTACTAGGGGTTTCCAGCAGAAAGGTGACCTGATCTCACTTGCCCTTGGTTGTAGTCTGTCTGGCTGCTGTATGAAAGAAAGCAAAGGGAGAACCAGGTGACCAGGACACGGTACTAATAAAAGTGAACAAGGCCAATGGGAATAAGAAACGACTTGTAGTTTCAGAACTGAGTTATTATGACAGATAGATTGGATGTCCAGTGTGAAAGGAAAGACAAAAATGGCTCCAACTGAAAGGGTAAATGTTGCAGTTCACCAAATTCAGGATGATGACAGGACCTCTTTTTTGCAGAGGTGATTTCCAAAATTCCAAAATTCCTTTGAAGTTACAAGTGAATGTTAATTGGGCTGTCTCAAGGGCTTGCCAACAGGTAGCACAGTCTGAGACTGGGGCTCAAGGGGAAAAAATCTGTGGGGTGACTTAATTTTCCATATTATCAACAGGTAGACCTATCTCCATAGCAACAAGGAGATGGCAGTTCAACAGCGTCAGATTTTCATTCTCAGGGCTCATCTGTGAAGACCTTTAGGATCAGTCAAATTAACAAATTGCTGCCTCTCTGTTCCTGTTTATGCTCTTGGTGAAGTGTACTTCTCATGTCCTGAGCTTCATCTGGTTTCCACGCCGTGGCAGTGTCTGTGCAGCTGTTGTCCTTTGTCCAGGAGAAAGCTCACTTGTCATGGCTGACCTCTGAGCTGCACATGCTGCCTGTAGAGTCTCTCCCTAAGGAGCGAGTTGGGTGACAGCCCCAGCAGGGTCCCCAACACCCGCTGCCTCCCCAATCACACCCACAGCAAGGCTGCCGTGCAGGGTCTGTGGCCTTCCCTGGTTCCTCCTGTGTAATACAAGCTTCTGTGATGGTTTGGAAGAAGGCAGCATCAGATACAGAACTCTTACACTGAGTACTATCGTAGACTTCAGGAGGCCTGAAAACACACTGAAACTGTTTGCTAATCATGTGGGGAGAAGGGGTGCATTTCAGAGAGAGTGTCCTATATGTCCAGGATCACTGTATCCCCACAGGGATTGCCCCATCGCTCTAATTTTAAGACATTGCTTGGGTGAGGTTTCCAGAGTTATTGCATACCCTGCTGGTGAGGGCATTTTTCCACATAGGAATAAAATGTATTCTGTGCTGAGAATAACAGGAGAAAGGATGAAAACTGGACAAAGCCCTTCTAAAACCAAAGTTATTAATCTATACACCATGGGTACCTAGTAAATATTCCTCATTTCTCTGACCTGGGGCTCCATCCTTGAACTGCTTCTCTTCATTTTCAAGCTTCTTTCCCAAAAGATTTCTTTGGATCTTGTGGCTTTTCTATTCTCACGGCAGTTACATTCAATTATGTTCCCACTCTTTTTCCCTAAACTCCTGACTCATATATCCAACTACCAATTTCACATTGTTCTCTCCTTGAATATTCAAAACTAGACCTGTAATTCCCTTCAAAAAGTTGTTCCTTACATTCTTCCCAATTTACCAATGTGGTTTCTCTATCCCAATTTCCATAGTTAAAATCATAGGAATCATCCACAAATTTTCTTTCTCAGATCCTAAACATTACTAGTTCATGGAAAAAAGTCTAAAGCCTTCCTTTCAAAATATATGCAGGGTCCAAACACTTTTTCCAACCTCTACCACCAGCACATTGGTCCAAGCCATTTCATCCCAACTATTTTTGTAGCCTCCTATGTGATCTCCTCACTCCTACTCTGGTCCTATCACATTTTCCATCAAGCATCCAGATAGATCATTTTTAAATATAGATTAGATCCTGTCACTCAGGAGGCTGAGGCAAGAGGATCACCGAGAGTTCAAGGCCAGCCTTAAACATCAGCTACATACATAGCATTGGTAGCATTTTGTTTAAAAATATACATACAAACATCAGTACATTTCACCCCAAACTGTTAAGTATGCAGTACCTAAGCCCTCACGTTTCACACAGCTAACTAAAAACCATAATATTTCCTAACACAAAATTTACTGTTTCTCGCATCAGTAATGAGAGCACTCAGTATCATATGACATACTATGTTTAACTTACATTGTGCACCCAGAACCTATTACTAAAATAAACTCCATGAATGAATACTGAACTACTGCTTTGTTCACTGTCATTCACTACTGCAGTTCCCACAGCATAGAACCATGTCTGGCCTATGAACAAAAAACATTTTTTTGCTTGTTAAAATTATATTCATGTAAGTTTTTCTCCTCAAACCAATGCCTCAGCTGTAATGATACGTGATTCTTTTCATATTTACACACAATTATACCCAAGTGTAGTGGTGCACAATTGCAATCCCATCACTGAGGAGGATGAAGCAGGAGGATCACTCAGAGTTCAAGACCAGCCTGGGCTACATAGGGAGACCCTGTCTCAACACACATGCACACACAGAAAAAGAAAACTCAGATCTTTGAGAAGAAAAAACTGAAAATAATTCTATTAGTTCTTCTAATTCAATGTATCACTCTACAGATCACTTGTGGCCACAAGGAAAAGGTTGATTTTACAATAGAACTATCACTAAGCCAGCAATTGAACGTATTAAATTTGGATAAGGCAATCATGCACCCCTGATATGTTTCTGACAAACATATCGACCTGAATTAGACTAAAATTAGGGAAACCATTTCTGCTTTATATGGCATACCATGAATGGAAGCTAAATGAAATTATCCCATCAGGAAGCAAACCTAAAAACATGTATAAGTTTGTCTCTAGCATATCAACGTCAAAAAATGGAGGGGAGGATGCTGTTTACAACAGATTTGAGCAAATATCTTAAGTCGATATGTAAGGCAAACAGATGACATTTTGGGATGGCTTCAAGATTGTGTAAGTACTCGAATTTTAGTTCGCTGTGTGAAATGTGAGGGCTTAGTCCAATATTTAACTTGGGGGACTTGCACTGCTTCATAAATACTTTCGCCAAACACTCTTCGCAGGTACCTACCTCTCCAAAGCCGTAGTCGGCGCGGACGCCCAGCGCTTTGTTCCTGCTCCCGCCACCCCGTCTTCCTGCAGCCATCTTGAGTGCGGCAACAAGGGAGAGCAATCTCCCGGCACCCAGGAACGAATTGTGTCTCCGCTGATCGACTGCACGGATAGGAGCCGGCACCGACCAGAACAAACCCCAAACTACCTCTTTCCTCTTTAAGCTTACAATTAGGTCAGAGAAAGGAGTAATACCAAAACACTCGGGATTAAGAGTTTTACGTGATAAATAGATCAGCAAGACAAAAATGTTAGCTCCTTTAAAGGGATATGTGGGCGGCCCTGAAAAGGGCCTTTGGTTGGTGTTATAGGGTTTCAGTAACAGAGAAGATCTAACCGCCGAAGCCGTAAAGCGTACGTCCCTGGCGCTTGAGCGCGTAGACTACGTCCATGGCCGTGACCGTCTTGCGCTTGGCGTGCTCCGTGTAGGTGACAGCGTCGCGGATCACGTTCTCCAGGAAGACCTTCAGCACCCCACGCGTCTCCTCATAGATGAGGCCGGAGATGCGCTTGACGCCGCCGCGCCGGGCCAGGCGGCGGATGGCGGGTTTGGTGATGCCCTGAATGTTGTCGCGCAGCACCTTCCGATGGCGCTTAGCGCCGCCTTTACCAAGACCTTTGCCTCCCTTGCCACGACCAGACATGATGACCCTGCTACTGGGAGACTTCTGGAAAGCGATTGTTCAGGCTGACAGCAAAACTTATATGCATGGAGTGCGGACCTAATTGAAAGCTGCAGCTCCCGCGTGAATTTTGGTCCCGCCCTCGTAGCCCGCCGAATGACGTCACCGTTAACCCGGATTCTGCTCCCAGAGGCGTTCTTCGCGGAAGTCCTGCCTACTAATCCTCTGCGCGAAAGAAAGGCTCTCCGCCTTTGTCACTAAGTCAGACTGAAGCATTTAACCTTTCTTAAATAATTGTTATTCGCTACTTGGGTCGCTTTAGGACGACTGCACCAGAGCTGCTTTCCGCAACCCTGGTTGAAAGTAAGAGGCAAGCTTTCTGCGCTCCCGTTCCGCTCACTGCTGTTAGAGACCGAAACGCTTCCGGGGAGAAATTTGAAAATTGCCGTATTCGCTCTCCCCAACGCCTCGAGTTTTCGGAAAACAAATCGGTAGCTGGTTACTGATTCCGTAGTATTATTCTCGCCCGCTGTGCAGAGGTCCTGGTTCCATTCCCGGCGTCTTTTCCTCCCCATTATCAAAATCTTCAGTTTCCATTCAGGTATCTAACCTCCCATCACATCTGTACCCAACAACTCACTAGTGTTGATGTTTGTGTCTCTAATTTTTGTTTTCTGTTTGATGCAGACAGCGACTTTCCAAAGAATACACACCCTTTGCTCTCCAAGTAAAAAGGCGATTTCTCACTGGTTAGTGTATGGTGTCATTCAGGAACAGAGTTAAGACTATTGTTAGGAGCTCTTTGTGTAAGTAGCAGAGTGGCGCAGCGGAAGCGTGCTGGGCCCATAACCCAGAGGTCGATGGATCGAAACCATCCTCTGCTAAGTTCTTTTCATTTGTTTTTAACCTCATCTCCGTTTATTTAGCTAGAATCGTGTCGCTTACCTTAAGAAAACAAATTGCATCCAAATAGTTCAAAGAAAGATCCCTGAATTGAAACAGCTTCTCAAAAATATATGTGCAAATATTGACCGTCTGCACCTTTCATGGATTCCTAAGTGGTATTACTTTGTCCTCTCAAATCAGATTTCTTCTGGTTATCAAAATGGCTGTGCCACCTTTATGAGCCCATTATCACAAATATGTGTTGCCCTGTGAAGCCGAAAAATGTTGAAATCAGCTGAGTGACAAGGATGAGGGCGGGTCGGAGATGAACCCAGGAATCAAGTTTTATTTCCTTTTATAGATAATTCAGAAACCTTTACTTGCCAAGTGGTTACGGTGATTAACTAGGAATCTAATGGACAGTTCCCTGTGCATATTATTCGCAACTACAACTCTGAATTTTGGGAGAAAATGGGCAGTTTGAGACAGGTGTGGTAAATAAATGTGTCTCTAATCTCTACCCCGCTGTAAAATCTTCTATAGTCATATTTTCTGTGCTTATACGAGTGTCACTGTTCTCCACCCCACCAAAAAACTTCTATTCTGATACTTATGAATCAGATTCTGTGCTAGAAGCTAAGAAGAAATCAAGTCGCCTGCAGTCTATACATGCTTTTAAACAAGTAAATATTTTCAATATACCACTATTTCTTTAAAAAGAGCCCTGACTAAGTGCAGTGAAAATAAAGGAAATTGGTGATCATAGCCATGAACACCACTGATTTGAAGAAGGAGTTATATAACTTGACATATAGTCACAGTTCACAATTTATTACAGCAAAGGTTACAATGCAGGAAATGAAGGAAAGAGATACACACAGATGAAGGCTGGAGAAGGCTTTTTTTCCAGTCTTCAGTGACAACACACATTCTCTTTTCTCTTGAGCTATAATCTGAGTGTCATCCGTGTTTGTCAAGCAAAGCCCACTTTACTATGGAGTCAGAGTTGCTAAAGGGAGTTGGTCACCACATGACCAGCGACGGGGTGAACCCTTAGCCAGACACCAGGTGCACATCATGAATCTTCATGTTTACTTTTAAAATGCTGACAACCTGGTTCATAATGATTTGGTGCTCCAAGGGTATAGAATAACATCATTACTCAGTAAATGTGGACATTCCAGCATTGTACTTTTCAAGGTGTGGTCAAGGGTCCTCACCGTGGCATTTATCTACAGAGTTCAGTGGAAAGTGAATAAAAGAGTTTTGCTGTATTAACTGTCCTCTGGCAAGTGTCTTCTTCAGGAATGGTGGCAAGTTTTGAGCCAAAACTTGAATAAGTACTTGCTAGACAGACAAACAGAGGATTCTAGGCAAAAGAAACAAATACAAAGAGGCATGACAGTTAAAGAGTTGGTAAGAAACTATAAATAGTTCAGTGAAATTGAGTATGAAGGTAAGGGAGGTTGTATGAGGGAAAGGAATTTGAAGCAAGACATGGCTGTGTTGGGATCAATTCTTATTCACACACTTAGTGAGGCACAGGCCTTGTCTCCAACACGGGGTAGGTGAGATAGGTAGCAATGTCATACATATGGTCATAAATATGGAAAGCCAGGAAGAGTAGTGCACTGCATGCCATGCAGACAATTGAGTGGATGTAATGAAAAGCAGAAAAAACTCCCAGAGCCGGTGAGAGGCAGCCTTTGTGGTAATGGGAAGCTGGAGGTTTAGGAGCTGGCAGAGAAATTAAGGCTATTATGCTGATAACTGAGTAGGATGCAGCCTGTCTGGCTCATAAGGGACAGGCACCATGGGGAGCCTTCCCTGTTCATGGGGGGCATATCTAGCAAGACTCAGAGCTAGAGATCCTGCAAGGGTCAGAGGTGTGAAAAAAGCACTAGAAGTTTTAGATCTTACATTACTTTCTGGATTTATGGCAGAACAGATAGAGAAAGGGTAGCTCATTAAGGGACTCAATATGCAATGCAATTTGATTTTATTATTCCATAGGCAATAGGAAACTACCAAACAATTGTGAACAAAGAATGTGATCAGATTCTCTTGTTACAAAAACTCTATGAAATTCTTACACATATTTGTGATTTGGTCTTTGATTAGTTTATCTTTCAAGAAATAATTTTCCTTCTAAACTTAGAGAAGGAAGGTTTGGGATGACTTTGTATTGGTCATTGCCACTGAAATGTTATACACAACTTAAACAAGTCTTAACACACACATACATACTTCACCCTCCAAATACTCCTCCTGCCTTCATGTCTATTCCTGGCAATGGAAACTTCGTCACTACAGAAAAAAAAAAATCATAACTTCTGTTTCTCTCATGTGCCAAATCCAATTATCAGGATCTTACTACTTTTCACCTCTTTCACCATTACACATGATGGTTTAGCCAAAAATGGCATCACATGTCATGAAAATATTACAAATAGTTCTTCAACCAATCTCTGTATCCAAGAAGAGAGAACAAGTCTGTTTTCACATGCTTTGCAGAATAGAACTTTTTTAATTAATTTACTTCAAAAATGATTGTAGAATTCAAAAATATGTATATTAAAAATTCAGCACATTTTTATTGCGCTCCTACTATTTTCCAGGTGCTACTCCTTGGCTCCAGAAATTTCTTTTTTCCTAATCCAGAAAAGCCAAGTTCTACCACAAATGAGGGAGAAGAGTCATTGCTTCCAGTGCCTGCGATGTAGGAAAAGAAAGAAAACAGCTTATGAAGAAACTACTGACATTATCTTCAAACAAAATGCACGGAGTCACAAAGATTCACTGAGAGGCTTAAAAGAAGCCAGCCTGGAGTACGTAATGAGACTCTGTCCAAAAACAAAAAGTCGTCCAAAACAGTTTTAGATCTATATCCTGTTATATAGAATTAAGCATACTACAGAGCATTCTAAATCCTGTAAATGCTCTTTCTTCATAGGATAATTTTATTGCTTCTTGTTTTTGTACTGTTTCAATAATTCATTGTAAAAATTCTTAACAGTCTAAATTTTTTTTTCTGCTTTGTGTTTCTTCACTTCATAATAAAAGGAAGCCTCAGAATATAGTAATGGCCCTGGAATTCTCTTATACCCCTTATTCTTTTCTTTTTAAAAAAAAACAGACAGGAATTTACTGGGGGAAAAAAAATGCTTAGATGCCACGTTGTAACAATCAGGGAAAGATCCCGGTTTTCCCTGGGAGACACCCAAGCACGAAGACGCTGACGTTCCTTTGGTGAAACTGCCGCCTGCGATTTCCTTGGCAACCGCAAGGCTCACCGTCAGCGTCCCTAGAGTCTGTGAAATTGCACGTGATAAGCCTGCCCGGGGAAAGGGACTCTGAGAAGCATCTTGAAAAATATCCCTCGGTGCAGCCAATATGTAACATCTTGGCATCTTTTAGAGCACAGAAACTACAATATTTCTGCTGCCAGAAGTCATAGAGCAGACAACTTTTCTCTGTAAAACAGCGAGACCACGAGATCGAAATAATTGTCAATTCGACCTCTCAGAAATCCCGCATCCGGGATCCCAAATAACTCACGTCAACTACAGTTTCCATTTTTCCGATAATTAAAGGTACAGGGGTCGGGACGTCACTGCCTTCTTGTTATTATTAAATGACTTTTTAAAAACTCGGGCTTGGACAGAAACTTCGGTATTCAATGTACTACTTTCTATGTACTCCAGCAAAACAGTAGTTACGGGGACCACGTGGCCTAACGGATAAGGCGTCTGACTTCGGATCAGAAGATTGAGGGTTCGAATCCCTTCGTGGTTAACATTTTCCGGTTGTAGCTTTTTTTCTTTTTCTTTTTCTTTTTTTAATATAACTCTTTCAAAATAAGATCACCTTGTTTCGTTGAAAGAAAAATATTACTCGTTCTCTCTGGGATTTTCAAACTTTTTTCTTTCTTCCTCTTCTCCTTTAAAGGGAAGTAGAGAAAAAAAAAATAAATAAAGGGAAGGACACCAGTCTCAAAAGGCCTTGAGACAATTGGCGCTGGAGTGAAAAGATAAAGTCAAAACTGAAATTAGCCTTCTGATATATTGAAGATCTATTCTCCCCACATCAGAGTTTTGAGTGTCTGGGTTTCAGATATTTTTGTGCCTCTTGAAAAAAGAAATCAGCTCTGTAAACCACAGCCTCTCGACCTTGAGTCTCACAATGAGGTCAGGTTCTAGGGGTCATCCCAGTGGGAAACCTGTCCCTTTTTCCTCAGGCTTAGCAGGTTGGCATATGTTCC